GGCCGCGGCCCCCCCAAGCCCCAGCTGCCCGCGGGTCCCACCGTTGTGCGAGGCCAGCCCCGGGCCTCCTTGTTGAGGGAGGCTGCCCAGGGAGCGCCAATGACTGGATGGAGCTGGCGCCGCAGCGCCGCCACCGCGGTAGCCGGGCTGCGTCTTTGTCGACGACACCACCCTCTCAAGCCCCCCCCGGCGGGTCGGCGTCGCTCGGGCAGCCCTGGCGAAGGAGACGGAAGAGAGGATGGAGGGGGGAGGGGGGCCAACGGGCTGTCGTCGTCGACTCGCAGCACGGGCAGGGACAGGGATAGCCCCTGGCTCGCGTCGAAGCCAGCCAAAGTCTCCCCAAGTACCCGGGCCACCACCGCCGTCGCCGCCGCCGCCGCCCGGCGCGCCTCTGGCTTCCAGGCCACGAGAGCTTGTACATGTAGCTGACCCCGGCGGTGCTGGGCGCGCGAGAGCTTCCTTTTACCCTGCCGGAGGTGCCGCACCAGCAGCTGCTCCTCAGGTGGTCCTGTCCCGGCGCTGGGCTGGGCGTGCACCGGGACCTCGCTGGGATGCCCGGCAAGCAGGGGTGTTTGTTGCGCTTCCGTGACCCTGGCTGAGGGCGCACTCCATCTCGCAGCCCACGATGATGGGCCTAGGCCACTGCCGGGCTTCATGTCCTGCCCTTCTTCTACCCTCCACGCCCCCTCGCCCCAAATCTTGCAATCCCTCGCGAACCCTCTTCTTCACCACCAAGACTGTGCTCCCTTGGGCAGATCTGATCCCGAAAACGCAGATTCTTGACCTACCTGTGTCTCATGATTGCGCACCCTTCTCGTATACCCGCCCAGACCCGCTTACACCACCTCACCTGCCCTCTACCCTTGCTCCGGCGATTTTAAAGAAGACGGCCTCAGTCCTCGGTGCTGGCTTCCTCGGCCGGTGTGTGATACCGACAGCCAATTCACTCATTCTACACGTTCTTTTCCGAAGCTCTGCATCACCAGTGCCCAGCTTAGCCACTCCTTTGGCACCTTCTCGATTCCTGCGCCTTGCTCTTACACAGCCCTCCGTCCTGCACCCGGCTGGTCCATCTTCTCACAGCCTCGGCGAACACTGCGGAGCAATTGTGTCAACGGCGGCCACTCTTCGCCGTCAAGTTCATCGGGGCAATGGGGCCGTTTTCCCAACAGCAATGGCCGACCTGGGCATATTCCGGGCTCAGTGACCCATTCACGACCTACCAACAGCAATTCTCAAACTACCCAGCCTACCTCGCCGAGTCCATGGACACGTACCAGGCGCACCACAACCGGCATCTCGTCAACCACCACCAATTGTCCAGGACAACCGAGTCCAAGCCCCGCCTTTCCAAGGAGGAAGTCGAGGTCCTCGAGGCCGAGTTTCAAAAGAACCACAAGCCGAGCAGCACCACGAAAAAGGCGCTGGCTGAATCCATGCGAGTTGACAATGCCCGCATCAATGTACGCCACCTCTAACGAATGGTTTCGGCGTGGGGTTGACTGCTAACTTGAGTGAAGAACTGGTTCCAGAACAGACGAGCCCGCGAGAAGAAGGAGAACAACATTCGAGAGTACGAGGCGAGGCAAAAGCTGGAGAAGGAAAAGGCGGACGCCGACTCCGGCTCGCAGACAGACAACTCCCGACAGTGCGATCTCGTGGCCTCCAGCGCCCCATTTCCAGAGCCCTCCAACCTCAAGGTCCACGCCGATGCCGCACTCTCGCCTTCGGCACAGTCCCTTCAGGAGACGGCCAGTGAGACCACAGAACAGAGCCAGGGCTCACCTGCCTTCTTCGCTGGCCAGAACCAGACTGCCAGTCTCGTGAGGACTGATAGCGTCGAGTCGGATCAGGACGATGATGTTGCTTCGGTGGAGCTGTCGGAGAACGCGGATGGCTACTTCGCCATCTCACAGGCCTGCGCCGGCGTGTCAGCAGCAGAGTCGGACTCGGTTGTGCTGATGGAGAGCCGGCCTACAGCCCAAACCGTTGACGAGTACCAAGATTTCATGGCAACCGACTTCGAGGGCAGCTGCTTCGCCCACACCCAGTCCATGTCTGGCGATTCCGAGGCCAAATCGCCCCACGCAGTCGACATTGCATCCCGACGGAACCGCAGGCCAGCGCCTTTGGCAATCACGGGAAGCCGAAGCTACTCTTCCTACGCGCCGAAGACCGCCATAGACATGAGCGGCAAGAGAGGCGATCGTACCAGTCCCATGCGCCGCGTCGCGTCTGCTTCTGGGTCCGGCCGGGTCAAGAAGTCCGTGTCGACTCCCCGAAGCCCGTTCTTCGATGGTGTATTCCCCTCGCGAAGATCACCAAGCGCAGCTGGCCCGCAAGGCACCGGTGCGCCACCGACTCCAGACACCCCGATTGCCCTCAATCACCAGGGCGTGGTTGATGGTACCGCTTCGTACTCCCTTGACAACAAATACTTGTCCACGGACATGACCCTCCAAGACCCTACTCTTCGGACACCACCAACGACTCCTGGCTTCATGGACAGCTTGTTCCCGATCGGATCTGGGTATGACATGAGCATTTCCGAAGAGACCCTCGTTGCTCCCAGCATGGGCAGGCTTCCCAATGGCTTCTCCGTGTCTGCCGTGCAGAGTGGGCTGTCTGGTTATGTCGGCGCTGCCAACAACGGCACAAGTCAAGTCCAGGCCAACCCGTCGTTGCTCTCGTCACAGATCGGGTCGACATACCTGAATTTTCTAGGTACCGGTGTCGACTACAGCTGGCCTGAATCGTCCATGCGGCCATCCTCAGCATCACAGCAGCAGCCTGGAGGGTACCTAAATATGGCCCCCGCAGCCTTCAGCCACGTCGAAAACTGAAAGAAGCTTGACGACAATGTCGATGGGACGGCCCGTCCATTCCTTTGTGGAGACACAGTGTCTCACCGTGTATGGCGCGTACATTCTCGGGCACCACCACCATGCTGTACAACATGTTCAAAGTCTCCTACGTCGAGACCACAGTTACAATCACTGTGCCATGCTCGCATCATTTCTGCGTCAGTGTAGTCGGCCCTGCATCAAGCAGGTGACGATTCAAATCGGACAGAACACCGCAGGTCATGTATTAATGTAATGGGAGGGGCTTTTGTCTTTTCTATTCTTTCCTTCCCTTTTTGGCTTATCTCTGCTGTTGGTTCATCGTTTGGCGCTTGAGGAGCATTGCAGGGACGGAATACCCACGGGATCATGAAGGGGCCGATGTCTTGGACTTTGATAGCCCGAAACTAAATAGAGAGGAAGGAGCATGACTTTTCGACGAAGTGGGGGTGTAAGGGGTTTGTCCTACCACGACGAGTTGGACCACTGGAATAGGAACCTCAGCTAGTCAGGCATAAGCAACAGAGGCCCAGAGTCCGAGACACGCCTGCTCTCCCATGTTCATTGTTGATCACCGTGTGCAAGTGGCTTTCGCGGCCGCCACCATCATGGTGCATACCGGTGGCACGGCAGATACGAGAGACCGCCTGCATCCGAACCATTGTTGCGCCGCATGAACGTCAAGCTTTTAGCTGCGAGCGGCAGAGGGTACCACCGAAGGGCTCTAATTCCGGGGATGGAGGTTTTTTTGTTACCCCCAAGGCAGACATGCTCATGGTTGAGACTGCGTACGAAGTAAGCCGCGGTTGCTGATATATCTTCTCCGCAGTCTGGTCGCGCTGTGCGGGGAAGGCTGTGGCTTGACGAGACTACCGCCGGGAGGCTATATCGGCAGATTCAATGGCACCGACCAAAGGGCCGAATCCCGAGTGCTTCTAATACAGAACCGACCGTGAGGCGACGATCCCGGGGTCAGTTGCGTTACCCCGCAAGTACTGTATCGAAGGCCAATTCGGCTTTGGCCCCGCGGCAAGGACGAACGGCAACAGGGCCCTGCCCAGGCGCAGAGTGTCATCAATGCTCATTCTCCGCGTCATCTAGTACGAACCAGGCTTGATCTCCTTAGTTGCATTGGCTTTCCTGTTCAGCGAGGAGAGGTGTCGCATCGTGTAACATGCGGGGCACGCGGTAGTATAAGAAGGGCGTGGTGGCCACCGAACTCTGTGCCTTCAGATGCGCCGAACATCTAGCCCAACGATCTCAATAAGTCGCCATGCCTCGGCTGAGTCGACTATTCTTACATGGCCTTGCGTTGTCAGGCTGCGCGGTGGTGGCATCCCGGTCCGATGGCCGTCCAATGGTGACGGTCAGGAACGGCACTTACACGGGGATGCACAGCCCATCTTACGGCCAAGACTTCTTTCTCGGAATGCCCTATGCCCAGGTATGAAGGGAGAATGTATAGAAAATGCTATAATTCCGAGCTTATCGGCGTTTAGTCCCCGAAACGCTTTACTGTCGCGGAAGGTCTCCGGACGTCATGGACAGGTAGTCGCGATGCCCTTCATTACCCTCCCCACTGCATAGGATATGGAGGAGACGACGTCGGCTACGCCCTCTCTGAAGACTGTCTCTATCTCAACGTCATACGTCCTTCCGGGGCTCGAGATACCTCCAACCTTCCCGTCGCGGTCTGGATTCACGGTGGCGGGCTTTATATGGGTGGAAGCGCGGACAAACGATACAATCTTTCTTTCATTGTCGATCATAGCGTCAAGATGGGTGCGCCCATTATCGGCGTGAGTATTAATTACAGATTGTCGGCCTTTGGGTTCCTAGCTGGAAGCGAGGCCATGCAATCAGGTGCAACCAACTTGGGTTTCCGCGATCAACGGCTGGCCCTGCAGTGGGTTCGCGAAAACATCAAGGCTTTTGGCGGCTCACCGGAGAAAGTGACTGTGTTTGGTGAGAGCTCGGGTGCGGAGAGCGTCTCCGCGCAAGTTCTGGCCTACAATGGTGAGCTTACTTGCACCCTAATAGAGATATATTACATTGGAGCTGACCCAAGGCAATCATCAAGGTCGCGATGACCGGCTCTTTCGGGGTGCAATTGCCCAGTCAGGGTTTGGCGGGCTGCTTAGGAGGTATCCTGGTGGATTCAATGATACAGAGCTGATGCAGGCTACCTACGATCATCTTGTTGGCAACACTTCGTGCGCAGCACTAGTGGGCACCGCGAAATCCTTGGACTGCCTCCAACGGGCTCCTCTTGCCGAGCTCAACTATGCGCTGAATGTCTCGAAAGTAGGGCCCTGGCCACCTGTCTTAGATGGCGATTTCTTCAAGGACTTTCCGGCCAATCAGCTATCCAATGGAGACTTCCGACAGGTGCCTGTGCTCATAGGAACGAATTCTGATGAAGGGACCGCATTTGGCAATCCTACGGCCGTCGCCGGACACCCGGTCAACTCGGATGAGGAGCTGCGGCCTGCTCTCAAGAATCGACTGGCGTCGAAACAGACAAGGGCGGAAATTGATGGGCTCGTGGATGAGCTGATGTTCCTGTATCCGAACATCCAGTCCGTTGGCATCCCGTCACTCGAGACCTGGCCGCACGTCATTCAGCCCAACGATACCTATGCAAAGACACTAGGGACTCAGTACAGACGCATCACTGCTATATTCGGAGATATATCCATGCATTACATGCGGCGTCGAGCCAATTTGGCGTGGTTCAAGCGTGGACTGCCGAGCTATGCTTACCGATTCGACGTCACAGTCAACGGAGTGCCGCCAAGCACTGGTGCTACTCACTTCCAGGAGGTGAGAAAACCAAACCCAGCATTTATTTTCTCCTTGTTTGTGGGATCCTCTGACAGGCAATATGCAGGTTGCCTTTGTATTTCTCAACTTCAACGGGGAAGGATATGCAGTGAACCCCTTCGGAGGTGACAACAAGGTGTACACGGCCAAGGCCAAGGCGTTGGCAACCACTATGGCCACTGCTTGGGTAAACTTTGTCAATCATCTGGACCCTAATGGGAAGAAAGGTCTCGGTCTTCCTGGCGGCTCAACGTGGCCCAAGTATGACACAGGAGCGGGCGGCGGCGTGGGACAGAATGTCATCTGGGATCTGGCGGGCGGCGCCATTGAGATTGACGATTGGCGAGCGGCAGGGATCAAATGGTTGATGGAACACGCGCTCTCAGTGTTTGGCAATTAACGGGGCTGGTCGGTGTCTCCTCCGGGCACTGAAATGTTGAAATCGGTCCTGAGAGAGCGGCGGAAAGCCACAGGCGTTTGAAGCACACGGTGCACGTCCACGGGCAAGAAGGGCAGGTGGGGCCTCCCGTGTGGCGGTAGCTTTGGGCGACTGCGGCGACGTCACTGGCGCGCCGCCAATTGCTCTTCACGCGTCTCCAAGCACTGGACCCACCTGAACACCACGCGCAAAGAGGCACCTCGCTCCTTGTACTTGGCAACGTCCTCAACCACCACCGATCTTGGCCTTATTTCAAGCCTCTCAGTCCCTCGAACGACCCTCTGCACCGTTGTTGCCTGTTCTAGGTCGCTTTTGGTAAACAATGTCGCGTGTCCAGTGACGGCCCACCCGCCCCAATGTCCTCGCCCACGGCCTTCGACGCCGACGCGTCGCGCCCCAGGTCCGGGATCCTGACTCCCTCATCACAGTGCAGCTTGAACCGCCGTGATGGAGACCAGCACAGCGGCGGCGGCGGCAGCAGCAGCAGCAGCAGGCCACCACAGAGCTGTCCCCCCAAACGAACAGAGGCCGCTGCCATGGATCATCTGCTGAAGCCATCCATTACTGTCACGGTTGGTTACGCCCGACGGCTTGCCCCTCGTCCTCTACTGACGCGCATGCCGGCAGCCCCATCCTCACAACTTACACATCCAACCTCGCTCTCTGATGCCCTTGATGGTCTTGCCGCGAAAGCATCTCCCATTGGCATGCCTCGACCTCGCACCGTCCGACAACGGCCTTCCCCAATCGCGGTTTTACGAGTCCCACATCAAGATTCTCGATCTAGAGAGTCGCGTTGGCTCGACACCAAGTGTGCTGGTAGCCCGCAGCGATTCCACAGGTGTCATATATGCACTCGAGAGGCAGAATACCGGACTTTACGTCGTGTGCAAGCTTGGGCCCTGGGTAGATCTCGACGCCTTGGCGGCCAAGGCGACTGCACTTTCGCGCGAACGACTCTGGCCGGCACGAACCGAACGACGGCAACAGGATGAAATGACAGCCATCACCACCCCTCAGCTCCACAAGGACCAGAAAAAGAAGCGCGCAGCAATCGAAGCCATTCAGTCTCTCGTCCGAAAGCGCGCCAGATCTCAGTCTGTCTCGACGTTTGACGATGCCACAGTCCGGGGCGATATTGCCGAGACAGCTGCAGCTGGGAATCAGCTACCATCGCCAGAGCTGAACTTGGAACCTCAGGCTCAGCCTGAACCTCCCTTGATCCCATCGACGACGGCAGGCACTCCAGCGAACTTAGGCAAGGCGCTGGAACAAGAACCACAAAACACCGCAACCAACATCTTTGACAATATCCGTACGCAGTATTTTGATGCTCTCTATCGGTCTATGGTGCGTAATCTCCGAATGTCCTCTTCATTACTGGCGTCTGACTAGATGCAGGGATCCCTAGCGTACTTTGCCAAAGGCCCATTGTCCCGCGCGAGATCAGCGTTCCATCTTGACCTGGAATCGAGTTTGGACATGGCCGATCTGATAGAATTCCTCAAGAGCATGATTCTCACGACGGTGCAGATTGACAAGAAATATCGGGAGACAATCCCGGATGTCATAGCCAAAATGGGCGAAAACATCAACAGCTCAGACGAGGGCGGCAGGCGCAAGAGAAAATCGAAGAAGATGAGGCTTGGCAAGAATGGTCTCTACCCAGTGGAAGAGGAGGACGTGTGTAGGTGGTGGACCTCTAACAAGCCGGAACTGAGCGACGACCAGACCGGCTTCTCGGCCGCGCAGATCAAGTCGCACGTGTCCCTGCTTCGCACACGAGAGACGCAACTGCAGATGATTCTCATTCTCGAGATTTTGGCCCTGGAGCCTTTGAAGTCCAGCGCGGACACTGGCGACGCCTGTCTGCCTGCACTGCCTGGAACCGACACCAGTGTGCAGCTCCCATCGATGGCTCCTCCACCCAAAAAGCGCAACAAGCACAACCTCCCAGTGCTAATAGACGTTCACGCGGACCGGCTCACCATCTGGCAATCAACAGCTTTCGACGATATCCTCCTGCTTGGAGACTCCCAGGTGTCCCAAGTCTCCGCCGATGGGCAGAGTCAGGCGGCTTCGTCTGAGCCGCTGAAAGACTTCTGCGTCGACGTCATTGTGCCATTGTACGTACTCCCATATTTTGTTGCAGATCAGCCGTTAACCCAAGAAGCTTCTCCGCTCGGTTGCCTGAGCTGTGCGATTCCATCAACCGCAAGCTCGGAGGTCCGGTTATTGTTTCGCCCCCAAAATCAAAGTCAACGACGCGTTCGAGTAAGCGCGAGCAGCAAAAGCCGGGAGCAGCGGCCAAACGTCCAGCGGCACTCAACAATCCAAGAAGGACATTGCAGCGCGCGCTGTCTACTGATCAGCAGCACCGCCGAAGTGTCTCCAGAGGCCCGAGCAATGCGATAGCGCTCATGCGCTCCGCGACGTCGACTGCCGTACCGGGCGTGAAACGCGAGGGCAGCGAGCCTGCTCCGCTTAGGTCGATTCCCAGTGGAGCGCTGAACCAGACCAGGCGGCAACAACCATCCCTCCTTCGCAGCACTAGCATGACCAATCTGCAAGACGCCAAAGCTAACAAGAAGGCAATGGTTGAGGCAGAACTGAAAGACGCCATTTCAGCGTTGAGGAAACCAAATCGAGGGGTCGTCGGGAAGGACATGGCTGAGGCCGACGAGCGTCGCGCCCTGACAGGCTCTTCTGCCAAGAGTAAGTTTGCGGCGCCCCAATTCCATTGATCCCGGTTAACCCGCGTACCAGAAGTTAAGAAGGTGTCACGGACTTCCCTTGGCTCGAATATCGTCAAGGCGACGCCGGCCAATAATCGCTTCTGGGATGCCCTAGCGGCGAAGCGCGAGACTAGTGCAGACTGCACCTATGAACGGACGGATGAGTTGATACCACCGTCCAGTATCGGCCCCCTGGTACCATCTACCACCTCCTCGATGGGACACAGAGACGCATATGTCGGTAGCACGTCGCCAGCGATCGAGCTGGTAGGAGGGACACCTGTTAGGCCAACTTCACAACCGAGCTTCATACGACGGCCGGCAAATGAGGAGCCGGCTATACCCCCTTCCTCGCCACTGATGGAACGGAATGCAACTAGTACCGGTGCATTTTCAATCCCCGGTAGTGCAGCTGGGTCACGGGAAAGGCTGGACTTCTCGACGCCGCGGAAGGGCGAAGTGTCCGCAACGCCGATCAAGAGAACTGCTCCACGACCACACGCAATCAGTGAGAGCCCTGGCCCGAGGGTAGATGCCCAGTCGCAGAAGAAAGTGTCTATATATCAGCGACTTGGATGGGATGATGACTTTGATGACTTGTAACGTATTGGCACGGCATGACATACGAGGAGTTTGATAGGCGTTTGTTGTTGGACCGGCAAAGGCAGGATGGCATGCAAAGGCATATTGGCATCAAATGGCGCATGCATCACGGATGGGCCGAGAAGACCACTTGGGTATACGAAGTAGCTTATATACATGAATGGCCGTGGCGACAGAGTCGTCCACAACCCGCAAGAGTCTTGGCTACATGCATGAGGACATCAGGTTCAGGCTGCTGCTGGCTCGACTACCATGGTGGGCAAGTCTCTAATATCAACATGCTCCTGAGAGCCCAAGTCCACGACCCGTATAGCGTCAACAGCAACGACACCCTCCCTCAGTGCGAGGAACTGCAGCTCGACGACATGACACGCCCCAGGAGCCAAAGGGCCCACCCGAGTATCACTGCTGAGGCAAACAACATCAGTGGTGTCGACTACCGAGCTCTTTTGCATAGCATGCAAGACGTTCTCGTCCAGCACCGCATCGGCAACTTCCTTCTCCCCTTGGCGTCTAGACGCGGTCGATGGCGGTCGAACAGGTCTCGAGTCATTACGCCGCCGCTTCGGAATCGCGACCAGGGCTAGCTTACGCGGTGGTCGGGACGTCTTCTCGGCAGTCCTGTTGACAACGTAGACGGTCCAGGAGAATATGTCGCCAGCGCGCACGGGCTCGTTGGGTGCGGTGAAGGACATGGTGATGCCAAGATCGGGGAGGGATGCCTCGGTGCGATTAGTGGATGCTTCGAGGGCGGGGAGGGCATCGGGTTGGGTAACGGAGGGAGACTTCAGAGGTGTCATGACCGTTCCACTGCCGATAGAGAGCTGCGCGGGCCGATGAGAACGCTGAATGCCCGTTTCAGCAGCCGTGCCAAAGCTGGGGTTGACGGGGATGGTGAAGTCGAGAGTAGTGCTCCAGGCCATGGATAGGCGAGGAACGCAGAACCCTGGCTCAACCAGAACAGATGCGGATATGGAGATGTCGAGCGTGCCGGTGACGGGCTTGGGGGCAGAGTCGTTCTGATGCGGCCTGATGTGGTAGAGGAAGGTTATGTGGTCGTGGGCTACGCAGCTCAGGGGCAGCTTCATGGCGGTGCCGTCATTTAGGCTCTCGACGGTGCCGTCTGGTGTTTGCAATTTGATCTCGTCCAGTAGGGCCTCGCACTCAAAGTTTGGCGTGAAGTCGACCTCCAGGAGCGCTATCACGGCAGAGCTCAAGGGCACTGTATTGGGGCGGGAGAAGCGTATCCTCGTGTGTATGACGGGCGATATGTTGAGCTTGAGCTGCGGCAGCGCGCGGAGATGGGTCATGAGATCCTGCTGCCTTGTCACAGGCGCCACGCGAGACACGCGCAAGGCTGACAGCCGGGGTTTCACGCCGTTGAGCGCGGGATCATCGGCGAAGGACTCAAGGAGGTTGAAGCTCATTGGAAGGCCGCTCTGGAGATAGCCAGTACCTCGCGCGCTGAGCTCGCCCGCAACCTCGGGCTTGATGCTGGCTGATGCCGAGAAGACAACCGACGGTTGATGAGGGCGCATTCGTGGGCGCGCGAGAAAGACGGGTATTTTCCACATCGCGTACGCATGTTTCTGTGATGCACCCTCATCGGAGACCCCATGCTCCTCGGTCGCGATGAAAGCGTCAGAAACGTCCGCAACGTGGCCGGTGAAGATTGTCTCGGCGGCAGGTGGTGACTCCCTCCCCGGGGCGCTGCGATTGATGATTTGCACCTCTAGAGAGACCACGAGCCTGCGAATTTGCTCGGCAAGCTCTTCATCCCCCAGCCATGGACACTTGAGGATGAGCAGGACAGTGGCCGTCTCATCTGTCAGGCGCGGTCAGCATAAAGGGGCTGGGTTCTCATAGAAGTCTCGACACAGACTCACCAAAGTACAGAGAGTCTCGCGCCTCTATAGACTCAAGTATGGGTTTCCCCTGCTCCTTTGCTTCCTCCACAGCTGATCCAAGGTCAAGGTCCGTCTTGGAGGGGATCAGGTAACTCAGATAGGAGTTGTCGGCGAAGCTTGAGCTGGGTTCTTGTGCTTCGCTCGCATTGGTGAGGTCCTCTGGCCCTGCGACCGCATCATGGTCCGACATTTCTGTTCTTCTCAGCACGCGCTGAGAAATGATCCCATGAGTGTGTTGTCGAGAGGCAAACGACCATGGCTCCCGGCAGCGGAGGCAGAGCTCGTCACGGGATAGTGCTTCTAGGTTGCGGGATGCATCCCAGGTCTCGGGTGCTGACAACCGCTGGAGCTCCAAGCCGCGCACAGTGGGGCCCCACTGAGTGACTGCCAGCTGCGCGCCTGGCTTTGCTCCACTTTTGGTCGACCACGATGGCGCACTCGTCCGCCTGGTGGTCCGTGCACATTGTCGATTATTTTCCGAACAAGCCCGCGCGCCTTGAGCCGGCCGTTCTGCAAAAGTCACCATCGCTCGAACTGGCTCACCCTCGTCACGCACCCGACAGCCTCTCCCATCGCTGACGACGGCACGAACGCGACGCCGACGCTGAGGCTTGTCTTCTTCGCCGGGGCCAAAAAGCCTCGTGCGTTTTCGAGAAAGTCCGTCGTTCGCAGACACCAGGCGTCGCGATGAGTGGCTTCCCGGGCGCGTACGGCGCGCCGCCGGCCTCGCCGTGGCAGGAGCACCACACCGCCGATGGTCGACCCTACTACTACAATTCCGCCACCAAGGTGACGCAGTGGACAAAGCCGGAGGAGATGATGAGTCCGTCGGAGGTGAGCAAGCCCAGACCCAGAAGTCGCACCCCTCTCGTGACGGTGCGTCGTGCTAACAGGTTCCGCAGCGGGCTCTTGCGAACCAACCTTGGAAGGAATACACAGCCGAAGGCGGCCGAAAGTATTGGTACAATACCGAGACGAAGCAGAGTTCCTGGGATATGCCCGAAGTCTACCGAAACGCCATCGGGGCCACCGACGGCCGCGGCTCCTTCGCCGCATCGCCATCCCAGGGCCAGGCTCCGGCGCAAGGACAAGGGCAGAGTCACCACCGTCAGGGCCACCGTGATCAAGGACGTGGTGCCCGCGAGTCTCGAGACGCACCGCCCGACAGCCGCCACCTGTCGCGATCGTTTGTTCCTGCCACCGACAACGGCCCTGAGTATGCGACCAAGGAAGAGGCCATGGCCGCCTTCGTCAAGGCCCTCAAACGCAACGGGGTCCAGGCCGACTGGACATGGGATCATACGGTGGAAATCCTTTCCAAGGATCCGCAGTTCAAAGCGATCAAGAACCCCAGGGCCAGGAAGGAGGCGTTTACCAAGTACTGCCAGGACATGGTGCTCCAGGAACGTGAGCGCGCCCAGGAGCGGTTCGCCAAACTTCGTGCCGACTTCGAGACTATGCTCAAACGACACCCTGACATTACGTACAATACTCGATGGTCGACTGCCCGTCCCATCATCGAAGGGGAGACCATTTTCCGCTCAACCGATGACGAGGAGGAGCGAGTCAAGCTGTTCTATGAGTACACCGCGGGCCTCAAGAAGGCTCATGAGGAACAGCAGAGGGCCCAACGCAAGGCGGCACTTGATGGCCTCAGAGACTTGCTTCCTAAGCTCAACATCACGGCGTACACAACCTGGGCTGATGGTCGTGATATTATCACCGACATCATCGAGAGTGATCCCAAGTATAAGGCGCTCAGTATGAGCGAGACTATGACCAAGTTTCAGGACCACATCAAGTCGCTTGAACGCTCCTTTAACGAGAAGAAGCAGATGGAAAAGAAGATGAGATACCGCCGGGAGCGCCGCAACCGGGACGCTTTCCGATCTTTGCTCGCCAGTCTCCGGCGTGAAGGTCGAATCAAGGCTGGCACCAAGTGGCGCGACATTTACCCAGCCTTTGAGACGGACGAGCGCTACCTCAACATGTTGAACCAGGAAGGACCCACCCCAGTCATGATGTTTTGGGACGTGCTTGTGGAAGAAGAACGGGCGCTGCGAGGGCCCCGTACCGATGTCCTTGACGTTCTCGAGGTGGGTTTGAGCTTATTGCGCCGGCTTTGCCTTGCCTTGTTGTCATTCGGCAGTACTAACTCAGCTTATAAAGGACAAGCGATTCGAGGTCACGGCCAACACGACTCTGGACGAGTTCATGTCCATTGTAAAGGACGACCGCCGAACCGCCCGCATCGAGCCTGCTACGCTCGAGCTGATTTTTGAACGCGTGAGCCCTTCCTACTCTCGTTTTAGATTGAACACCGTCCTGAATATCTTCCTCCAGCTTCGTGAAAAACGAGCTGCCAGGCGTGACGATGAGAGACATTCCGATCGCCACGTGCGCCATGCTGTGGACAGTCTCCGCTCCGCCTTGAAACGCCTTGAGCCTCCCATTGTCTTGGGAGACACTTATGACCATGTTCGCCCGCGTTTAGTCAAGCTGCCAGAGTTCCTGGCCGTTCCTTCCGAAGAAGCCGCAAAGTCTGCTTTCGAGCGACACATGCGCCGCCTCAAGGAAAAGGCTGAGGACGAGTCAGGGCGAGCTCACCGAAGAAGCAGCTTCGTTTCCAGCGAGCGAGACGCACCTCGCCGAAATAGGGACCGATCGCGTGGTGAGAGATCGCATCGCGGCGGCCGTTCGTCTCGTCGCAGCCGAAGCCCCGAGCAAGACCCTTATGAGGCAGATCGGCGACGGGCCATTGCGGAGCGGGAGCGCAACCATCGAAAATCAACGCTTGCGGAGGGTGTGCTCACAGGCGACCGCGGTCGGCTTAGCCCGCCGCCGCGACGTGAGCGAGACCGTGAACGCGAGCGAGAAAGGGATCGCGACCGGGATAGGGATCGCGAGCGTGACCGGGATCGGGATCGTGAAAGAGACCGTGATCACCGGGAGCGAGACCGCGACTACGACAGATATGCCCGATCCCGACGAAGCGAAGACGGCCATTACCCTCGAGACCGCGACCGTAGAGAAAGGGACGAAGATCGTGAGCGTCCGCTCCGGCGACCTGTCGACACGCGCTCGGTGGACGAGCTCAACTATGGTGACGAAGCCCCCGCTGGTTCTTCAGGCTCCCGACGCCGACGCCCCGACGATGAGGATGGCTCTGGTCGCAGAGACTCTAGGGACTCCAAGGTACGTTTGCCTGCAACCCAGGCTCTACCAGGAAGACCCTCTTGGCTAACAAATGACGACAGAGAATCAAAACTGAGCAGTCGCAAGAGGCCACCCCGCAGCGTGATGCACGTCAACGCAACGCATCTCCTCCTGCTAAGGAAGCTAGAGACGTCAGAAGTGGCAGCGAGGAAGGGGAGATTGAAGAGTAAGGCGATTCGAAAGCGGAACGCTAGCAGCTACTACAGTACGGCCAGCAACAGCCCTTCATTTGCTGAGAGCAGGCAGATAAACCATGGGTGTGAATCGTGGCTTGACGCAGTGGTCGAGTGTAACGCAGGGATTTTGGGATGACAAGTTTTGCTTGAGAGTCGAAGCACGACGTAAAGGCAGCTGGGCACGAGGTGAGACTTTCAGAGATAGAAGGCTGCGATTGTCCTGTATGAGTCTTATCGAGGAGTCGCCTGATGCAGCGAGTAGCGACTGGCAGTCAGGCCGGTGGCTCAACTGAACGGGAACTACGTGTCAGTGTTGCTAGTCGTCACGCGAGCGTGAGCCGCAGCCAATTTTCAACGATCCGTGCATTCAAGTAGCTGAGATAAATGGCAGACTAAAAGCTCTCTATGCGCTTCCCGCGAGGATAGGAAGCTGACGACAGTCATCCTGCTTCATCCATTGCCCCTCAATCTGCGAAATGGCCGGGTGGCCCCCGTCGTCGCCAGCACGTCCGCTCGTGAGCGCAGCACGGATGCGGAGTGTTGCGCGACGTCACACGTGGTAAAGACAGTGTGAGCCGACTAGAGCCACCATTTCGCAGGACCAGGCAACAGGGGATAGACTGCCGTCACCATTGTTACTCATCTGGATCATCGTCCTCGCCGGCGCCGCCTTCCTGCAGTCCCGTTTCAAGACCATGGCCAGGACCGTGCTTCTCTACCGAAGCTTCATTTTGAACGCCGAATGATGCATTGCGATTGGGGAAAGGGGTATCATGCTCCTTGGTGCCCTTTTCAAGAGCTCTTGTCGGGCGTCTCTTCCAGGAAGAACTGTGAAAGGTTAGGGGGCTGCTTTCATGGCACATACACGTTAAGGGGAGGGGGGGCAAGAGCTTACGAAGTTGCCGCTCATCTTTTGCTCCTGGTCGAGCTGAGAACCCAGCTTGTTGATGCGAGGACGGTAGTTGGTCGGGTCGCGACGGAAAGTGACATTCAGGTTCTTCAGGAAGGTGTTGCAACCAGTAAGGAGCGACTCGGGCCTGTTGGCGTGGGCATCAAGACCCGGCTTGCCATCGAAGACAATGACGCGGTCAGCGAGGTAAGTGGCCATGATGAAGTCGTGCTCAACCACAAACGCGGTCTTCTTCGAGTGCATGATGAATCGCTTGATGACACGAGACGCAATGATACGCTGCTCGGAGTCGAGGTAGGCCGACGGTTCGTCAATGAGGTAAATGTCGGCGGGCATGCCGAGAGACAGGACGATGGCAACGCGCTGCAATTCACCACCAGACAGGTTCTTGACCTCTTGGTCGATGAAGTCGTCGAGCTTGAGGGGCTTGACCACATCGGTCTGGAACTGCGGAGACAAGAACGCCTGCTTGATCTTCTTGAAGAAGAGCTGTCGGACGGTTCCGTCGAACTTGGGGGTAATGGTCTGCGGCTTCATGCTGATCCTCATATCGGGAACGCCAGCCTTGCTGTCGGGCTTGAGAGCACCAGCCAGGAGACGGCAGAAAGTCGTTTTACCCGTACCGTTCTCTCCCATCATGACGATGATCTCTGAGTCGGTGAACTCACCGGCATCGATACGAAGCCTAAAGTTACCGAGGGTCTTCTCCATCTTGGGGTAGTTGAATGCACGAGAGCGGTCAATAGCAAACTCGTCGGTGGTTTCGGCGATGCGGAACGTCAGGGACTCCTCGCGGAATCGAAGGTTTTCCGTCGGGATGTGGCCATCCAGGAAAATGTTGATGCCTTCGCGGACCGAGTAGGGCATTGTCACCACACCATAGATGGCGGGCTGACCGTACAGGACGCAGACGTAGTCGGAAAGGTAGTCCAGAACAGACAAGTCGTGCTCAACGACAATGACGTAGTCGTCGTCTCGGAGCAGGGATCGAATCATTTGGGCAGCACTCAATCTCTGCTTGACATCCAAGTATGACGAAGGCTCGTCGAACATGTACACATCGGCCTTCTGGACACATACAGTGCCAATGGCGAAACGTTGGAGCTCACCGCCAGAAAGGAGGGTGATGTCTCGGTCCATGATGTGGCCAAGCTCCAGGACGTCAATCACATCGTCGGTGTTGCCAAGAGAAGCTCGGCTCTCAATAAGAGCCCGCACGCTCTTCTCCGGGCCTCGGACTGCCTTGGGGATCTGGTCGACATACTGAGGCTTGACGACAGCCTTCAGATCATCTTCCAGGAGCTTTGTGAAGTAGTCTGCGCGCAGTTGTAAGCCACTCATGCATCAATTCACAAGCAGGACGGTTGGACAAACTTTGCAGCTCAGAACCACGGAAGTGCTTGATAACGTCATCCCAGTCCGGAGGATTGTCGTGGCGGCCCAGATTAGGCTTGAGCTTGCCGCTAAGGATCTTCAACGCGGTACTTTTGCCAATACCGTTTGTTCCGACCAGACCCAGGACTTGACCAGGACGTGGCATGGGAAGGCGGTGGAGCTTGAAGCTGTTGGGGCCATAGCGATGGGTCACCTGGCTCTCGAGGTTGGTGGGCAGGTTGATGATCGTGATGGCGTCGAAGGGGCACTTCTTGGGACAAATACCGCAGCCGATACAGAGTGACTCAGAAATGAAGGCCAGTCGAGACTCGGGCGTCACTTCAATGCAAAGCTTACCGCTGCGAACGACGGGGCAGGACTTCTTGCATTCCTGGCGACACTTGCGAGGGCGGCACTGGGAGTAGTCGGTCAGTATGGCGGGGTTGCGCGAGGGGCATTGAGGGGTTGGGACGGGTTTCGGGTCGACGAACTTTGTCGCTATTGACAATAGCGATACTGTACGCCTTGATGTCAGCAAAAGATGCCCCAAGCCCTAGTCGCCATAAACGGCGACAGGCTTCCTTCGACTGTCGTTCACATACCGAGTGAGTCTGTCCGACATCGTGGCGGTGGCTGGCGAAAGCTGTCCAGGGTAGTCGAAAAAAAGTGGCGAGGGCGCACAAAGACACGCCGTTCGAGCGCAGAGAGTTGATTGACGGAGTAGGCAAGACGATCACCACGCACGTACGACGAAACCAGGCACGCGGAGCGCTCAGGTTAGAAGTCTCGCGGGGACGCAGTGGAGTTTTAAAGGACAGGAAAAGTCGAGCAGTTGTGGTGGTGACGAGGAGGTGTGTGGTCATCAATTTTTCTGTGAATGGTCAGTTTGGCGGGGCAGGGCAGCCGTGGCGGGGTCTTGGGGAGTCACAGGCATTGGGGGGCCACATTTCCCTGCCTGTTAACGCAAGAAGTCAAGGCCACATGTCGTTTCGTCGCGTTTGAGACTTTGACGACGCCGGTCTGCTATCTCGTAGGCCGGATCGCCCAACCAACCGCACGTTTCCCGCAGTCTATATCGGGGAACGCCTGGGATCGGGAATATATTTGTGAGTACTCGTACAGCGCTTCACGGAGTACACCGAGTCAGTGATCGGGCCTCAAAAGTCAACATCACAAGTTCGCAGTGCTTGAAGACGTAGATGCGCTTACCCACGAGACACCCCCGCCGAGGGTATCTCGGGAAAGGCGTGAAACCTTGCGACTCTCAATCTGGCCTCGTGCCGTCCTCAGCACCCTCGCCGGGCCGTTTCCCGTGATACATTTCTGATTGACCTGCAATCCTACATAGTACAGATGATCCGGTAAGACAGGATAGCTGTTAACACTACGAAGTATGGGCCCCCATACCAAAACGCAGTGAATATTCTTTCCAGTAGTGTTTCACGAGATACTGGTGGCTCTGGGAGTTTGTATTGCCATTACTCGGCCGCGCGTGGCCGGTTTCCATCTTCGTCCTAATTTGGGAACCTACGACAAAAGCGCAGCTTTGGTTCCTGGCCCGGCAAGTCAGTTATGACTCACTTGCGGTACGGTCAGCCTGTTGCATATCATCATACCAGTGTATACCTAGTGGCAAATACTCGAAAGACCATCGTGGGGGCGCCTGGAGCATTCAGCACCAAGAGAGTCTAATCCGGGTGTGGTGTGGAAAGGAAGGCTGGCAGCATGCTTACAGGGCGATCACGTGAGGCGGGCCCGCCGGGGAGTGCATCCATGGATAGGTGCACCACTGTACTGGACTGATCTGGACCCGTCAGCGCTGTGTTGGCGCTGCGACCGCCGGCCGCGCTGTCGGCCCCGGCCCCCGACCTCAGCCTCCAATTCTTTCCTGCCTCTGCCTATTCTCTCTCCACCAGTCCTTTTTTGTGCCATTCCCACACCCCGACCCTTCAACACCGGCAACCCCCATCTACCATCCGCGACACAGCATCGACCTTGTGCCTTCGGAACGGCATCCGACCGTCTTTCAAATGCTGCTTGGTGCTTGAGGGTCATCTTCGAATGACTGGTGAGTTGTCCCAGCCCAATCCCTCACCCGTGTACTGCACACGAGCAGCCCATATGCTTGTCTGCATCTCCCCCGGCCAGCCTCGACATGACGATGCCGAGCATCGCCGCATAGCATCATAAGGTGTCTGTACGATGTTTCCGACGCGCTTGGTCGATGGAATCGATGACTGTCGATGATGCACGCCCGCTGGCGTATCGCACACAGTCACCCTGCTCCTCGATTGACTCTCAATGGCCTCGCCTATCTATGTCAGCCTCGCCATCGGAAGCGTCGCGACCTTGCGACGGCGGCCATCTCCCATGCTAGAGCATGGTATTTGGTATCCAACGACATCCATGCGCGTCGCGAGAGTCGCCTCATCACCTCGATGCTCCTGCTGTGCCCGCAACCAAGTGGAACGGCTGCTAACGTTGTCTCGCTTCAGCCGCCCGTTTTTGTGGAAGCCGCAACGATGTCCTCCCCTACTGAGGGGGAAGCTGTCAACGGAACCGTGTCGCCCGCAGAGTACAAGGCATCGCCGCCCTTTGCAGACAGCAATAGAAGCGAAAGCGAACACCTCGATTCCCAGAACACACCGGCCGAGCGCTCCTCCGCGTCACCAGTCGAAAACCACAATGGAGATGCTCCAAACCACTTTCAAGAAGACCGTCGCATGTCGGACAGTGAAGAGTCCAGCGCAGGCAACGCGTCTGATGATGGTGACTTCGACATGCAGGATGGTGTCCTATCTGACCACGATGACGACGCCGACCGGAACCGTGCCAGCTCTGCCGACTCTTCTCGGCCATCGAAACGCAAGAACCCATTAGAGGTGGACGATTATATCCAAGCCAATCCCGAACTTTATGGTCTCCGGCGAAGCGTGCGTTGCCATCAGTAAATGCCTCATATGCGACGCGGCTGACATCTGACCCCAGACTCGAGCGAGAGAAACCCGCAAGCTCGTACGTGTAGCACAATATCAGCTCCGTTGGAGCTGGCAAAGCTAATCCATTCCCAGGCTGAGTCGAGTGAGTCCGAGTCCGACGTAGCACCGTCGAACCGGCGCCAGGCAAAGCGCCGTCGCGTGAACCAATCGCTCTCTTGTGAGTCCATCGTCCCTCGCCGCCAACCGACCTTTCGCTGACATCAAGCTTCTAGCGTCCAAACGCGGCACGCCTGCTCTACAGCCCTCCACGAACGAATCAGACTCCGACTCAGACGTCTATGGCGGTGCACGAGCGAAGAGCCAGCAGAAGAAAGCAAGATTGCAACGCGAGTCACAGCCAACCCTGGCACTAGCGGAAAAGAGATGGTCGAACCGTCGTGCCGCACAACAGGTGCAACAGGGTGCATACGAAGAAAGCGACTTCGAGGACGAAGAAGAGCTCGAGGTTGGCGACGAATACTACGTGGCTGATTACGTCGACTCCTCACCATACGTCGAGAAAGTCGTTCGCCACCGACTCCGAGACGGCCTGGAGTTGCAGTATGATGCGAGCCGACATGATTTCGAGTACTTCATCAAGTGGCAGGGCAAGTCGCACTTGCACGACACTTGGGAAACGATTGAAGAGCTTCGCAACGTCCGCGGATTCCGGAAGGTGGAGAATTACTTCCGCAAGCTCGTTGAACTGGAGCTGGACATGCGTTTCGGCGATGACATTCCCCCAGAGAGCAAGGAACAATTCTTCCTCGACCGCGAACGAGATGAAGAGGCGTTCGAGGACTACACTAAGGTCGAAAGAATAGTCGCCGTCCGAGACGGCGACGAAGACACTGAGTACTACGTGAAGTGGAAAGGCCTTACTTATGAGGAGTGTACCTGGGAGCTTGCGTCGGAGATCAGCGCCGAGTTCCAGGACAAGATTGACCAGTTCTTGGATCGCTCTTCCCGGTCCTGGCAGTCTGATCGACGAGAAACCAACATCGACACCCGATCGCGGATGACGAAGCTGGAGAGGCAACCCGATTACATCAAGGGCGGAGAACTTCGGCAATTCCAGCTGAAGGGTCTCAACTTCTTGTGCCTCAATTGGACTCGCGCAAACAACGTTATCCTCGCCGACGAAATGGGTCTTGGGAAAACGGTCCAAACAGTCTCCTTTCTAAGCTGGCTGCGGAACGCCCGGGGGCAGGAAGGCCCGTCACTGGTCGTCGCGCCGCTGAGCGTCATCCCCGCTTGGTGTGATACATTCAACACTTGGGCTCCCGACTTGAACTACGTTGTCTACCTCGGCCCCGAAGATGCACGAAACATCATCAGAGACAATGAGCTTATCGTTGGGGGTAACCCAAAGAAGCCCAAGTTCAATGTCTTGGTGACTTCGTACGAGTTCATCTTGCAAGACTGGCAATTTCTACAGTCCATCAAGTGGCAGACACTCGCTGTTGACGAGGCTCATCGCCTCAAGAACCGCGACTCCCAGCTGTACAGCCGGCTCTTCAACTTCGGTGTTCCTTGCAAAATTTTGATCACTGGCACACCCATTCAGAATAACCTGTCCGAGCTCTCGGCACTCCTCGACTTTCTGAATCCCGGAAAAGTTGTGATCGATGAGGATTTGGAGTCTTTATCTGCTAATGATGCGCAAGAGAAGCTGCAAGATCTCCATGCCTCCATCGCTCCGTACATTCTCCGCAGAACCAAGGAGACGGTGGAGTCGGATCTACCCCCCAAGACGGAGAAAATCATTCGCGTGGAGTTGTCCGACGTCCAGCTGGACTACTACAAGAACATCCTCACTAGGAACTACTCTGCGCTTTGCGATGCCACCGGTGGGCACAAGAACTCACTTCTCAACGTCATGATGGAGTTGAAGAAGATCAGCAACCACCCCTACATGTTCCCTGGTGCAGAGGAGCGTGTACTGGCTGGCAGCGTCCGCCGTGAGGATCAAATCAAGGGCTTGATTGCCAGCAGCGGCAAGATGATGCTGCTCGACCAACTTCTTTCGAAACTCAAGAAAGATGGCCACAGAGTGCTCATTTTCAGCCAGATGGTCAAGATGCTGGACATTCTTGGAGACTACTTGTCCTTGAGGGGCTATAAATTCCAGCGCCTAGACGGGACAATCGCTGCCGGGCCTCGCCGTATGGCCATCAACCACTTCAACGCCGAAGACAGCGAGGATTTCTGTTTCTTGCTGTCGACCAGGGCTGGCGGCCTCGGCATCAATTTGATGACCGCTGACACGGTCGTCATCTTTGACTCCGACTGGAACCCTCAGGCAGACTTGCAGGCTATGGCTCGAGCTCACCGAATCGGCCAGAAGAGGCCCGTCAACATCTACCGGCTTGTCTCCAAGGAGACGGTTGAAGAAGAAGTCCTTGAACGAGCACGAAATAAGCTTCTCCTTGAGTATCTGACCATACAGGCCGGAGTGACGGATGACGGCAAGGCCAATATCAGGGAGAAAATGCACGAAAAGGGCTTGAAGACGGACGGTCCATCGTCATCTGAGGACATTCAGATGGTGCTGAAGATGCGCTCTTCCAAGATGTTTGAGCAGAGCGGCAACCAGGAAAGGCTTGAGCAACTCGACATCGACTCAATTCTTGAGAATGCTGAAGTCACCAAGACGAAGGTGGACGATAAGATCAATCTCAGCAGCGGCGGCATCGATTGGGATAACTTCATGCAAGTCACCGATGTCAAGGTTGACGACATCAATCTCGACTGGGACCAGATCATTCCAGCCGAGAAGCTGGCTGAAATCAGGGCCAACGAGGAGAAGCGGAAGAACGAAGAGTACGTGGCCAAGCTGGCCGCCGAGAACGCACCTCGCAGAGCCACAATGAAGAGCCGCAATAAGGAAAATGACAGAGCAGACCGCCTTAAGAAACGGCAGCGAGAACAGCAGCAAGAGGAAGAAGAACAGCGAGCTCTAATGGCGGATCCTAAGCGCCCGCTGAACGACAAGGAGCAGCGAAACCTCATCAAGGCCTACTTCCGTTTCGGTTCCATAGATGATCGCGGTGACGACATCATCCAGGAAGCCAAGCTTGGCGAGCGAGACCCCGAGTTCGTGAAATCCGTCTTGGAGGACTTCATCAAGACAGCCAAGGAAGCCATGGAAGACAACAACGTCAAATTGGCCGAGGAAGAGAAGAAAACGGGCAAGACCTTGACCAAGAAGGACAGAAAGGCTGTGTTGATCGACTTTGGCATGCTGAAGAAAGTCAATGCCGAAACTGCTATCGAGCGACCGCAGCAGTTGCACATTCTGAGACAGGCCATCCGAAGCCAGCAAGACTGGAGGTCCTTCCGCCTGCCGGATGCCACGAAGGGCGCCAACTACAGCTGCCCTTGGGGGGCCAAGGAAGACGCCATGCTCCTCGTGGGCATAGACAAGCATGGTTTCGGTGCCTGGGTCCAGATTCGTGATGACCCAGAGCTGGAAATGTCTGAGAAGTTGTTTCTCGAAGAGCATAGAGTCGGAAAGAAGGAGGAGCGCACGAAGGCGAACGACAAGCTCAAAGCACCAGGCGCAGTACATCTGGTCCGACGGTCCGAGTACCTCCTCTCTGTTCTGCAGTCGAAGCATTCCGGTGACCGCGTGACTCACAAGTCCGCGGAGAACCAGCACCGCAACAGCAAGAAACATCAACTGGCGAATGGACATCGTGGGAGCGGCACAGCGTCACCCGCCCCCCACGCGGCCAAGAAGGCTCGCGAGCGTGAGAGAGAGCAAATCCAGCGCGATGGAGACCACGCCCGGCCTCGTAGCCACGCGGATGATCGCGGTTCCGCTCGGCCGGATTTCAAGCGTAAACACGTCTCCAACGATGACGGCCGCAGCCCAAAGCATCGTCGTGCAGATGACGGTCGCCGCTTGAGTTCTCACGGCGATGATCGTGATCGACACGAAAAACGGAGGCAGCGTGAAGATGAAGAACGTCATCGCGAGAGACATCGACACCGAGATGATCATCGCCGGGACGATCGACGACGAGATGATTATCGCCGAGACGAACACCGCCGAGACGACCATCGCCGGGACGACCATCGCCGGGATGACCATCGCCGCGACGACCACCGCCGGGATGACCATCGCCGAGACGACCATCGCCGGGACGACCATCGCCGGGATGATCATCGACGCGAAGACCGCCAACAGGGTCACCGTGAGCGGGATCGCGAAGCGCGGCCGCAGGATGAACGCAGAGCAAGCGCTCTTCGGCGTCTCGACGACTTGCGCCGCATCGGCGACGACAAGGATCAGCGTGACAAGGACAACGACGCCATGATTTGGTTTCTACTGAAACCAGTACGTGCAAACTTCGAAAAGATTCTTTCAACAACCAAGGAGAATGTGAAGTCCAGCAAAGAACGAGCAAGCATTTTCGGCTCGGAGTTGGTCGCCATTGGCGGCTTTCTTGACGAGCAGTTTTCGCACTCCGCCGCGAACGAGGCCCTGAAGAACAATTTCTGGTTTGTTGTCCAATAGTGGAAGAGTCAATGACACGTGCTGATGCGTATCTAGGGACTTTTTGGCGGCTCTTTGGCCCGTGGATGACACCAGCAACAGTGTCACGGGTAAGCGATTGAGCAATATGTATCGCACATTGCACGCTCGGAACGCGGCATCGGGATCCAGCACCGCCCGGACCAACGGCGCTGGTTCTAGTCGCTGAGCAATCAATGAACTTCGAACTTGCCGCATCAGAAGCGTGGCATCAATTGGAATGTGATTTTTATCTTTGGCATTGTCCTGCATCAGCCGGAGTTTGGCACAAAGGTTGGGGTTTCTGTTTTCGGCGCGGAAAATTCGACAGCAACATACCCCGATATGCATGAACAGACACGAGTTGAGTGGAGGAATTGGTTACGGCCGGCTGGCATGGGCGCGGCTCGCGGGTCGGTCCTTCAGAAGAGCCTTTCTTGTCCTGGTGGCTTTTACATACATTTGGCATGGCATGTCTTCCCCAGAGGGACCCTGTCCTGCTGCGCAATGCTCTCGGGCGACTGTGTTGGACGGGGAAAAGCCGCCGTCGCAGGATTCAGCTCGCTTCCTTGCGACGAGGCAGAGGAAGCAGCTGCGAGGCCATGAATTCGCGTCCCAAACGAAAGCTGGACCTCATAGAGCACTCAGAAGTGTTTGTTGCGCCAACGCATACGCGCAAGTCTTCTACGGCTCACGAGCCTGACTGACTTGCGTGATAAATAGACTTGTGCATTATTGAACGTGCACGCACGCCGTGATCGTTGCTGATGGTGTTGGCTGGGTACTTCGTCAGCGAGTTGGAAACTACGCTCGAGCTCGTACGTTGACTCGTTCGATGACTGACTTTCGGCCCCACCCAACATTAGAATGTCCACGGTCAGGAAACCTCATCTGTCGCCGTGACGGATTTTTCTGGTCACACATAACGCCGTCAGGGTCTCAGAATGTCAGCCAAGAATTGGCAGCACGAATTGGACGCGGCGCGCGGCGCTGTCCTGCGCGCGGCCAAGTTGACCAAAAACGTGCTCTCCACCGTCAGTGAAGTCTCCAAAGCGGACTCGTCGCCTGTCACCGTCGCAGACTTTGCAGCTCAGGCACTCATCATCAGCATCCTCCACGAGATATTTCCGGATGACGCATTTGTCGGCGAGGAGGATGCCGGGGTCTTGCGCCGCGAAGCCGGACTGAGGGAGCGCGTGTACGAGATCTTCTCTGCGGCTCGGGACGAGGCGACGGACCAGCAGGGGCGGCAGCAGCAGCGGTACACGGTGGACCAGATGCTCGATTTCATCGACATGGGCGGTCGCGGTCATGGCGGCGCACATGGGCGCTTCTGGGTCATGGACCCGGTGGACGGGACTGCCACGTTTCTGCGCGGCGAGCAGTATGCCGTGTCGCTCGCGCTACTGCAGGGCGGCAAAGAGGCGCTCGGTGTGGTCGCCTGCCCTAACCTGAAACTCGACGACGCCGGACGGATCCGCGAGTCCAGCATCGACAAAGACGGACTGGGCATCATGCTCTCCGCCGTCAAGGGCCAAGGAGCCACCGTCACCGCCCTGACCTCTGCCGACGCCAGCACGCTGCCGGAACCCGTCTCGTTGGAGCAGCTGCAACCGCCGTCCGAGCTCTCTGGCGCGCACATAGTCGACTGCTCACTCAACCCGGCCGCCAGCCGGGCCAAGATGCAGGAACTGGCTTCTCGACTCGGCGCCGAGTTCCCCGGGACGGACGTGTGGTCGTCGCACATCAGGTACGCGGCGCTGATTGTCGGAGGCGGTGACGTCCTGATCCGCATCCCCTCTTCGTCCGGCAGCAAGTCCTGCATATGGGACCACGCAGGTGCGCAGCTCATCTTCACCGAGTTGGGGGGCAAGGTGACCGATCTCGACGGACGTCCCGTCGACTTCAGCGTGGGCAGGTACTTGAGCCAGAACAGGGGCCTACTATCGGCCAGGAAAGACATCCACGCGCGGGTGCTGGCTGTTGCCCAGGAGTTGATGCCGGACAATTGATCACTGGGGGTTTCTGCTCGCTAGGTTGTAGTACAACATGATGTAAATGGTATATCCAGCTCTCAATACACTGAGCGCCACTATATGTGTTTAGTGTACAGAAGATGCAGAGGGTGACTACATCAAGCTACTCCTCCCACCGATCTCCATGCTCCCTTGGCCGTCCTTCATCTGCCCGCTCCTACCCACGACGAACTCCCGATAGATGCGTTCTAGTCGAGCCCTTTCCTCTGAGCTGATACTGGCCCTCGTGTTGTCGAGCGCCTTGACCAGATGCGACCATTCGATGACAACCTCCCTATGCTGCGGCTCTTCTTTCGTCTCGACGTCAGGAGCAGCGCCGTGAAGAAGCCCCTTACGCGCCTCCTTGGCTTTCTTGCGGGTAAGTTTGATCTGCTCCAGCTTTGACATGATGGCAGCGTTCTCGATGAGCGCGGCAGATTTGCTCTGCGGGACGACCCCATTTGCGTTTGATTTGCCAGATTCTGCGCCGTACCGAAACTGGACAAAGCTGGGTGTAGAGCTCTTGGGGTTGGAATGGCTGCCGGAGCCCTGGCGAGGTGCACTGACGTCGAGCACATCGTGAATCGCCTCAAGTTGCGCGTTAGAGACGAGCGCTTGAAGGTCGGCTCCCGAGAAACCCTTCGTCCGACGGGCCACTTCCGTGAGCGCATTGTCTGACTCGGTGAGCTCGGCGGATAGCCGGACTTTCTGAAACAGGGACTTGATGATGTCAAGTCGGTCCTCTTCAGCTGGCATGTCGCAGAGCAAAGACTTATCCAAACGACCGGGGCGAAGCAGCGCAGGGTCAATAAGGTCAGGACGAGACGTCGCCGCCAGGACGTAGACGCCAGACAGCCCTTCAGCACCATCCATCTGGGTGAGAAGTTGGTTCACCACTCTGTCCGTCACTCCCGTGCTGTCATGACCTCTCTTAGGTGCGATGGAGTCGAACTCGTCAAAAAAGAGAATGCAAGGCTTCGCCGCCTGCGCTCGGTCAAACAAGTCTCTGACACTCTTTTCAGAGGCGCCAATATACTTGTTTAGGATCTCAGGGCCCTTGACGCTGATAAAGTTGAGGCCGCACTCGCCAGCAACGGCACTGGCAAGCAGAGTTTTGCCGCATCCGGGGTAGCCGTACAACAAGAGACCAGATCGCAAGCGCAAAGGACATTGCGCAAAAATAGGAGCATACTTGGTCGGGTACTCGAGAGTTTCGAGCAAGACTTTTCGAGTCTCCTGTAGGCCTCCGATAGACTTGAATGTGGTTGTGGAACTCTGAAGGGGAACATTTCGGAGAGATGCAGGGGTGAAACCTTTGAGCGCCTTATCGAAGTCCTCTCGAGCAAGACGGACTGGGCCGTTGGCATCTGATGGAGAGTCGCTGATGGAGCGAATGATGGCTTCGTTCCTAGCCCGCGAAACAAGCACAGTCAGGTCTCCAGGCATGTAACCATCAGTCAATCCCGCGATGTCCAAAAAGTCGAGACTCGAATCGAGAATGAAGCCACCGTCCGTGGCGTTCGTCTGCTGCCGATCCGAGCCATGCATCCAGGCATCGCTGTCATCAGCGAGCGCACTGCCATCCGACGTTGGCGGCCGGCTATAATCGCTTACGGCGTCGTTCCCATCTTCCGCAATCACAGCACCCTGTCTGGCAATGGATTCCATGACTCTCCGTCTTGCTTCCTTATCGGGCGCTTTAAGCTCAATGATCTCTCGGACGACATGGCCACTGACCACAACGTTGTTCATGGAGTCTTTTCCTTCGGCGGTAGCGAGCAGGACAACGTTGCTGTCTCGTGTGCAGTATTGGCGCACTATGGAGCGGATCGTCTCGCTAATCTGTCGACTGCGGCCGTTGTCATTGCCGACCTGAAGCTCAGTTTCTACCGGGCAAAGTCGATCGAGGTCGTCAAGGACCACGAGGGCTTTGCCTCCAAGCCTCGCGCCCCAACTCGCTGACATGAATACGCGATTGAGGGTTTCTTTGATTGTCGATATCCTAGTTTCGTCGTTGACCAGTTTCCGGCAGGGGTAGTAGACAGTATAAAAGAGACTTTCTTGGCGTAGTTTTTCCGCAAGATGCTTTGCGACACTGGTCTTGCCGGACCCCATCGTGCCGGTCAAGAGAACGGAGGAGATGTGTGCGAGATGGGATTGAAGATTAGAGAGCAGCGAATCAATACCGACGAGTAGCGAGTCATGCGCCGGCTGCAAGTCGAGTCCATCGGGATCAGCCATCCAGGGTGGTCTAGGTTGGGCTTGCTGGAATTCGATCGGAATTTTTGGATCCACGCTCGACATCCACAAAGTCGCACCCTTCGGCTTTTCCTGTGACGCAAAATCGGCGCTGTACTCGAATCTGACGATACCACCTTCCCAACCTTGTGGAGCTTCTAGTCCGTCATAGACTCCAACAACTATGCCATCCGTCATAGGGCCATGAAGCAGACCATCAAGACCCTTAGGTCCGCTGTACATATGCCTGAAACGTTTTGCAGATTCTTCTTTCTCGGCCTTGGTCTCGCTGCCGAATTTCAAGCCTGTGGTCGACTGTGAGCTGGATGCAAAGGGAAAGACTTTGATCTGCTGCACATTGCCGCGTTGCAGCTGCTGCGGAGCGGCCTGGATCTTGACAACGCCACCAACGATGCCGCTGCAACCCAGTGCTGCGCAAAGAGGTGACGAGAGGGCGGCAGTTTGGCCATTAGGCGGGTCGTCCCATGGCTTCAATGCCGCTACCACCTTGGAGGTGGCGAGACTTGTTGCTGGCGTAGAGCCATCCTCTGGCTGCGGCTTCTGCAATCCAGCAGGCTTTATGACGTCGACAACTGCGTAGTTTATACCTCGGAAGGAGTTGGAGAACAGCAGGTTGCGGTCGACCCATACACTGAGGTCGGTGCAACTAGGTCCCTCGTCAAACCATTCGTTGCAGGCAGCCTTGTCTATGGCTCGAAGGAACATTGTCGGCCGCGGCTCTTCCCTTGCACTCCGTCTCCTAACGGTACTGGCGCCGCTACGCCTCGATTTCGATGTGCTCGCCACACTGCGATGATCGCCAGTGCTTTGAGAGCTCTTCGGCCTCGTCTTTGGCGCAACGATGACCTCAGCGTTGGGTGAGAGTTTCACAAATGGGACGTCCGCCGGCGGCGCAGGATCGAGCGACACAACTTTTATGTTCGCGGTAGATGTTGGAGACAGGTGGAGGGTAAGCAGATGGGGAGGCACGGGCGTGCTGCTGTTCAGCATATACGCTGGGTTCGGCAGCGCCCGGATTTGCGACTGCAAGTTGAGCTCGAGAAAGGTTGCATGCAGCTCGATGATCTCCCAGTCTTCTGGAGTCAAGGGTTCGATGTTGATCGTGTGCGCAATCGGAGGGTCGACATGTACCGTCGCGGTAACCTTTTGGCCCTCGGCGAGGCCCAGAGCGTTGGCCAATGTTGCATCGAGCTCGACCATCTGTATCTCCTGGTCGCGGGATGAGCCCCTCGAGCCTGTCAGGCCATCCCGACCGACGAGTGGCGCCGCTCTTCGCTTGCTGGGCATGCCCGTCCATCCCACAAAGACAGATTGCGGAGCTGCAGAACCCGACGGCCCGCTCGTCGGCGAGGGCCGATAGCTAAGTTCAACAACAACATTCTGGACGGGCTGTACAGCATGTCAGACATGAGCGCAAAATCGGGGGCGCCAAAGGGGTCTGCGTACAGTATTGACGTTGACTAAAAGTGAGACCAGGGATGGAGGGAGATTGACGAGGCAGCTCTTCAGGTGGACGAGCGCGAGCTCGGCCGCGGTTGACTGCGCGTTCTTTCGAGGAACCATTGCGAGCTCCTGTGGGGGATCAGGGGGCTAAGGGCTCATCGAAACGAGCTTCGTAAAAATGTTGCGACACAGCCCTGGGCTGAGTGGTGTTGCTGGTCGTGAAGATGGGGGAATGACGGCGGGAGTTGGAACTCGACGTGAATTCAATTGCTCCGACCCCAGACCGAGGTAAGTCACACGTGCCGACAGCGCGGTGGGGCGCCGGGGAAGGAGCATTGATGGTTGCAGACTTCCGCCCCGACCGCCCCTCCCCCCGCTGATGCGCGACCGCGGAGCTCATGCGCCATTGTGGCGCCAAAACCACTTTACCGTTCGTGGCGGTGCAGACGCGCGACGCGAAAAGTCGCGTCCAGGGCATTCGTGGAGACGCCGCCCTGTCTGAGAGTCTAAGACCACTGCAGCCGCTCCCAGCCCACCAATTTGCGCAGCTGCCCGTTGTCGACGCTCAAGACTTTCGTCGCGACAACCAACTTGCGAAGCTCGCGCCAACCTTTTCCCTTCATCCCGCGAAGCCCGCAGCCACCTAGCAGACACGCGGATTTCCATTACCACGACCGATCAGGATGGCGCTTCGCGAGTTCAAAGCCCCTGTCAATTATGACACCCAACAGAGTCGGTCACCCCCTCTCTACGTAGCGACGTTCCCGTTCGCTTGCTGACGGCGGAATCCAGAGGCGTTTGAGGAGTTCCTCACAGGGTTCAAGACGTCACCCGAACATACAATTGCGACTGCGATGGGCGACATAACCATAGACGAGGATGATCTCAGCGACGAGTATGACTTTATGGACGACGACGACGAGGCCGGCGCCCGCCGACAGAAGGAGAAAGAACGTCGGAGGACGCCACAGCACAAGTACAAAGAGGTTTTGCAGCAGCTAGCCGACCGCACGTTGGACGAGATCACGGTAGACCTAGATGATCTTCATGCAGTGAGGGGACAAACATATTCACAGCAGCGAGTACACCCGGCTAATCGATACGCAGTGGGAAGATGCGATGGATGAGAACCTGCGGCTGGTTGACTCCATCGAGTTGAACACCAAACACTACGTCGAGATCTTGTCGCGGGCAGTGGACAAGGTCCTGCCGCCACCAAGCACAGACGTTAGGTGAGGAATTGCCCCTCCCAACCGTCGAACGTCGAGCTGACCTCAGCCAGCTTCAAGGATGACGTTCTCGATGTCCTCATGTCACGACGCCAAGCCAGAAACCGTGAGCTTCAAGAGGCAGCGGAGCGCGATCCAACCGTGGAAGAAGACAAATTTCCCGCCGAGCTCGTCCGACGATACACCCTCGTGTTCAAACCCAGGTCCGGTACTACCGACAATCCCGCCAAAGCACTGGCCGTTCGACAGGTCCGTGGCGACCACCTCGGAAATCTCATCACTGTCCGCGCTATTGCAACCAGAGTTACGGATGTCAAGCCCATCGTGCAAGTGAGCGCATACACTTGCGATCGATGTGGCTGTGAAATCTTCCAGCCGGTCAACGAGAAGCAGTACGGTCCGTTGACCATGTGTCCATCCGAGGACTGCAAACAGAACCAGTCCAAAGGCCAGTTGAACCCGTCGACAAGAGCGTCCAAGTTCCTGCCGTTTCAAGAGGTCAAGGTTCAAGAGATGGCGGAGCAAGTCCCTATCGGGCAGATCCCGCGGTCTCTCACCATCCTCTGCTATGGCAGCCTCGTCCGCAAGATCAACCCGGGTGATGTAGTCGACATCTCGGGAATTTTCTTGCCCACACCGTACACTGGCTTCAAGGCGATGAAGGCCGGCCTACTGACCGACACATACCTGGAGGCGCATCACATTCATCAGCACAAGAAGGCGTATAGCGAGATGATCATCGACCCCCGTCTGGTCCGACGAATCGAAAAGTATAGACAGACCGGGCAGGTCTACGAGCTGCTCGCAAAGTCTATCGCGCCGGAAATCTATGGCCACCTCGACGTCAAGAAGGCTCTTCTACTGCTTCTCATTGGCGGTGTCAGCAAGGAGATGGGTGACGGTATGAAGATCCGTGGAGATATCAACATTTGCTTGATGGGCGACCCTGGTGTTGCCAAGTCACAGCTATTGAAGTATATCTCCAAGGTCGCCCCTCGCGGTGTGTACACGTCTGGTCGCGGTAGCAGCGGAGTTGGTCTCACTGCCGCGGTCATGCGTGACCCTGTGACGGATGAGATGGTCCTCGAGGGCGGTGCCCTGGTCCTGGCTGACAACGGCATCTGCTGCATCGACGAATTTGACAAGATGGACGACAATGACCGGACGGCCATCCACGAAGTCATGGAGCAGCAGACGATCTCTATTTCCAAAGCCGGCATTTCCACCACGCTTAACGCTCGAACATCGATCCTTGCCGCGGCTAACCCTATTTACGGCCGATACAACCCTCGCATTTCTCCAGTTGAGAACATCAATCTCCCCGCCGCCCTCCTCTCCCGTTTCGATGTCCTCTTCCTCCTTCTCGACACTCCGTCGCGCGAGTCTGATGAGCAGCTCGCCAAGCACGTAGCATACGTGCACATGAACAGCCGTCACCCGGACATCGGCACGGACAACGTTGTCTTCAGCCCCCACGAGGTCCGCTCGTACGTAGCTCAAGCTCGAACTTACCGGCCCGTCGTTCCCGAGTCGGTGTCAGACTACATGATCAAGACATATGTTCGTCTGCGAGATCAACAGAAGCGGGCGGAGCAGAAGGGCAAGCAGTTCACGCATACTACTCCCCGTACACTCTTGGGTGTAGTGCGCCTCGCGCAGGCATTGGCCCGTCTTCGCTTCAGCAATCAAGTCTCGCAGGACGACGTTGACGAGGCGCTGCGACTGGTTGAGGCTAGCAAGGAGAGTCTGAACGCCGAGGTTGGCACCGGCCGCAGGGGTCTCAATGCCAGCAGCAGAATCTACAACCTTGTGAAGGCGCTGGCTGATTCGGGTGCTTGCCGAGCCGACGATGCGGACGATGAGGAGGATCTGGGCGTGGAGTTGAGCATGCGAAAGGTCAAGGAGCGTGTCATTGCCAAGGGGTACACTGAAGATCAGTGGTTGAGCGCCCTGGAAGAGTATACCACTCTGGACGTAAGTAGCTCCGCATGGGCACCCCAAGAAAAGACTCCGAGTAAGCTAACAGTCAATAATAGGTGTGGCAAACTGCTGGAAACGGCTCAAGGCTGGTGTTCGTCACGGCTGGCAACGAAGATCAAGAGGACGATATGGACGAGTAGATTAGCGGACCTACGGTGAGGGACATTGTCTTTGAAGTCCGTGGGTAGGATGGCGTTCAAGGTATCGCAACTATGTCTGGAGGGACCGGCAACGGGGTGTTCGTCTAGGTCATGTTTGTTAATGGAGAAATAAATCCTGTCACGCTCACCATCGAGGCTGCCTCTTCGATATCAGTAGGGTTCGTATTCAACTCGCTCACCACTTGAGGTTCAGAATGATGGAGTAATGGCGTGTGCCTCATTGCCCATACAAGTGGTACATGATAGTGATACAGCGTCTACAGTAAGTTTACATGCGCATCGTCATGAGCGCCACCCTTTCCATCTCGCCAACATTGCCGTGGCCGCCCAAAGCCCACTTCTCGGAGACAGTCCGCGAGTTGAGCACGTCTCTCACCAGGCCACTCGCCCCCCAGTACTCCATCAGTGCTCTGCCCTCCTCTTTCGAAACGCCCTCCAGGCGCATGACGAAGCTGTTCTTTAGCGCGTCGTACACCCGTTCGTCGTACTTGCGCTCGTAGGGGTCTGGTTTAGGGACTTCCTTGCCGGCCTGCCCGGCCTCCAGCTGAGACAGGACAAGTTCCTGCGAAGGGTGGTGGTGGGAGTTGTTCTCTGACGTGGCTGCAATGATCGCTCCGCCGTTGGGAAGCTTCGTCTTGCCAGACAGTGCATCGACGAACATCCGCACGAGCACCAAGTCATGAGCGTGGACCTCGTTGAATGATGGATCCCTATACTCGCTAATCTTGTTGATGTGCGCAAGCCCATCGAGCGTGAATAGAACGGGTGGGCGGCCGGGCAAGGTCAACTCCGTCCACAGCGCGTTCAGGGTCGGCCAAGCGTACTCGCTTTCCTTGGCGCTGAGAGCGAGATCAGCAAGCGTCGCACCTTGCTTTAGGTTGGTCATCTTGGACCAATCGTTTTGTAGCTGCAACTTCTCAAGGACGGGTTTGTTGGCCTTGTAGATGTTCTGCAAAAGTTTGAGGCAGTACACCGGTTGCGCGAACTGCATCGGGTCGGCCGTGTCCGCGACAGGGGAGTATTCGGTATTGCCGTTTGTGAGATCTTGACCTTTGAAAATTGTGAGCTATATGTTCGAGATGACTTCAGCGAAGACCGTCGCTTACCCTCCGGGATATGAAAAACAACCCAGCCGTCCAAGAGAGCGTGGGACATGGCCTGCAGCAAGGCCATGCTCTTGCCCGATAGCCGGCTTCCGGTCAAAACGCACTTGAATGCCTCCTTATTCGTTTTCGAGTCTTGTAGCTTGCGCATCATCTCAACCGTCTCCTCGCGCACCAAGAAATGAGGGCGCCGGAACAAGTTCCACGTCTGCGTTGTCTTGAAGGCTTCAAGCGCTCTCAGTTGGTCTACCACCTGATCAGGTATGGCAAACATCTTGCCTTTGCTCTCGTGGTTAGCCAGAGCCTCTGCGCTCAGCTCATCAAGTCCTTGCACGGGCAACGCGCTGTTGTTGCTGAGCTGAATGCGCTTCCGGAACGCCTTGCGCTCGCCGGGATTGGGCTTTTTGACGGCCACAATGTTGGCCTTCTTCTTGTACGTCTTCTTGGTCTTCTTGGGAAGATCGCGTCGGCTCTTGATCGTCGGCGGCGGCGCGGCGGCAAGCACGGAGCTGGTCGTGAACGGAGCTCTGGCGAGCACGACGGGGTGGATTCGAGGCGCGACGGGGATGACAGGCCGGATCAGGCTCCGCAAAGCGTTTGCGGACGCCATGATGGCATTCGCGGATCAATGCCTGCAAGGATGTTGGGAGTTGACGACGATGATTTCGGCAAGCGGCCGTAAGAGGGCCAATTGGGCCAGCTGCCGGAGCTTGATACTTTGCACGAACCGGGAGAGACTCGGGACGTTCGTCGTGGACGAAAATCTCCAGCGAGTCGCCTTGGAGGTCCAGGGGGCCCCACAGCCAGCGGCTGTCAATTCGTCGCGCATCGGATTATTTATCGCCGCAAGATCCGACAACATTTCTTATCGGCCAAAAAATTGAGGGTCTGTTAAGAAAAGTCCACCCCAGCACAGTTGCCCGCTGCCATTATTTTGTTCAACATACTACATAATATGCTCTCACGACAAAGGGAGCCTCTTTGTTAAATTTCAAAATCGCATTACCATCGCGCAGCTGAAATAATGTCAGCGCCCATATCGAAACCGAAGTTACCTGTGGCGGTCGAAAAGCCCACGCCGTACACATTCGATCTTGGCCTCCTCCTCGCCCAGGATCCTAATGCCATTACACTGGATGGCTCCGCTCTCGAACAGTCCCTCGCCGAAATCACACGGGATGGTGCCCAGTCTCTCATTAACCAGCTTCTGACGACGTGCCCCCTCAATTCCACAAAAGAGGGCGTTCTCCTTACACTGCCGCCACCGACAACCCGACTGCCCCGAGAAAAGCCTGTTCCTGAAGCCAAACCACCGACCAAGTGGGAGCGCTTCGCCGCCAAGAAGGGAATCAAACCAAAGACAAGGGAGCAGCGCAGGAACCTCGCGTACGACGAGGAGAGCGGCGAGTGGAAGAGGAAATGGGGATACAAAGCCCTGAACAAGAAGGGCGAAGACGACTGGCTTGTTGAGGTGGACCCGCAGAAGGAAGCCGAGCGAAAGGAAGGCACAAGCATCCGCGGCGACGGACGCAGGGAGAGGAAAGAGAGGTTGAAGCGCAACGAAAGGAAGATGAGGAAGAACCAGCGGGATGCTGCGGCGAAGTCTGCCACGAGAGGGTGAAACAAACCTTGTTGGCATCCCATATGTTCTACTCAATCTCCAGTTCGGCATGGTTGCGGCGTTGGTGGCTCGGAGTTGGGAGTTGTCAGGCAGTTACGAGTTTGGAACTGGGGACAATTCGGCCTCAGGCGGCAGCATAATCCATTTTAGCACCTTTCGGAGCTCTACTCGTATGTCTCGACGTTGGTACCCTTTATTGCATTCGTCCATGTCTCTCCAAAGTGAAGCATCCGAAAACTTGATCTCCAACCCAGCCAGAACCTCAGGCTATTGTACACCGACTCCGTTTCGTAAACGAGGCGCTTTTCCCAACATAAATTAGACAGGAAAACAAATCAAACTCGAACACCGCCCCGGCCAAGGGCGATGCAAGACGCATCGCCACTTGCTTCATTATCACCTCGCTTCCAACAGGAACTGGCTTCGTAAGGAAGACAACGCTGAAGATTCGACGCCAACGGGTATTCTAACTCCGTCTCGAATGACAATGAAAGAAGGGGTATGGATTCTGGCATGTTGCATGCAAAAGCAAATGAAATACGCAAGGCAAAACCTGCTCATGAGACCGTTGCCTGCCCGGAAGACGGGTTAAGCTGCGTCCCAGGTAGGGCGAGCCGATTGCAGGGGGAACAAGAGCCGCGTGACCAGCTGATCAAACTCTCCAGACTCAATTGTTCAGAGAGCAGAGGACAGAATTGTCCTGAACATCGCAAGATATCGTCGCCTGATTATGGAGCATTGCGGCCCATCTCGAAGCCAGTGTACGCCCGTCAGGGTATGGTGACTTCTTGTGGCAATGTGCTCTTGAAACATCATAATTTGATGTCAGAACCCGATAGGCGACAACGGTTGAATTGGTGAAAGTGGCCGCAAGTCCCTCGCAGTCTGCGCGGCTTCACGGTGACTTCGAGGGCTGTCATTTGAGACGGAGGAGGTGTTGGAGTGGATGCTGACGTTGGAGTTCGGAAGGTGGTTGCCGTGGCCTTTGGACTGAACAGGTGCCTCCGTGCCCCCATTCGTCGAGTGCAAAGTGCTGTCGGGAGAAGACAGCTGACGGTTGTCTACTTCTTCGCTTTGCGCTGGCCGCTGAGGTTCAGAGAGGCCGCGCGGGGGAGGCTGATCAAAGAGCCTGTATTCTGACTCAATGTACTTCGCTTCGCTCTTGCAACCTTTCCAGCAATCTCTCCAATCGCACACCAGAAACTTGAAGCAGAATGCATCGATCTTCATGCATGGTTGAAAGCAGATGCAAAGGTTTCTGAAATCCATTTTGTTCTTGTCCGAATGGGCGAGAAGGAGGCTGAGGTGGCATGTGATTGCAAATAGCAAGTAGTAGTTGAACGGGGAGAGGTTTGAGAGTTCGTCGATCAGCATCTGAGGGACCTCCGTCGAGCCGGCACATTCCCGAGCAACTCTTTCCTGGGCTTCTTTGGGGAAGAGCTCGTCCGGAAGCTCCCGTAACCAGGCTTTGAGCATCGAGCCAATAATATTGATGTCGTATAACTCGTCTTCTTCGAACAGGTTCACATCATATTCTGCTCCAGTGATTAGCCACGGATGTTTCTGTCTCGTGGTGCCCAGGGGTAGACATACGCTCGTCAAACTTCCGCTGCCACTTCTTGATCTGCGGACCGCTCCCGGGAACTCGGTAGAGGCCCTCTACATCGCAGCCCTTGTAGTTCAGATAGTCAATAGCCCGCCATGGGAAAGCAGGCATCCAAAACTCGGTCTTGTCTCTCGAGTTCTCCAGGCGTTTCGAGATGCGTGTCAAGCGTGTCTGTTCCACCAAAGGTAGATTGATCACCTTGAGGACATAATGCTCATCGTCAATGACGGGCTCCCTCTCCGTGGTGCTCCCACTTCGTGAACTTTTCCCGAACAAGCCCTTACTTATCATGTCAGCGGCCCTTGTCGAGGAACTCCTCAAGCCGCTAAGAAAAGTTGACCCGCCATTGTCTCGTGTCGTCGAGGACGGCGCATGGCGGTAGTCTCGCTCGCGACTGGTATCTTTGCCATGTCCTGCATCTCGCCCGACAGCCCGGTCCTCGGACCGATTTCTTGAGGTCGAACTCATCATGTCCCGGAATGCCCGGTCTTGGGTGACGGGCGCGGTTCTGAGAGGTGCTGACTCCTCGTGAGGTTCCGCTCTGGTAGATGCGCTGGGCAGCGCGGCAGTGGAGAGCTGAGGACTGGTCCTGCCCTTGTTTTCGCGCGCAGACTTGGTGCGGCTGAGGATGCCAAAAGGTTTGGACTTGGTCTTCTTGCCCGGAGAGGGAATTGGAGCGGGTTCGTGCTCGGCTGCCGTCGAGGAAAGTGAGAGTTCGGAACGGGACGGGAGCGGTGTAGCCGGCTTCTCTAGCGAGCCTTGTCCGTAGGGCGAGTTTGCTAAACGGCCGATCGTGTGAGTTGGCGCTCCTTGACAATGGGTTGGAACGACCGGGCCTAGTTTGGGCCAGGTCCTACCGTTGGACAAAGGCAGAGTAGTCGGAGTCCGGTACGCACCTTCGTTTCGACGAACGCTCGTTTGATCGCCGTCTGTCACTAACGCCTTGTCCCGCGATTCCGTGTTCGGTTGCGTCACCGGCAGGTTGAGGAGCTGATTTGAGCTCTTGGACGACTTGGCGAAGTGGAAGAAGCCGCTCTTGATTGACTTCTTGCCGTCGGTAGCTGTGGATCGCGTCACCGTCTGGGGGACGGGGGCGTGGGACGCAGGAAGCGCAGCCGCGGAGACGGGAGGGCGCTCGTCGCGGGCGGACTGTGATCGCTGGTGGTGCGGCTGTTGGTGATGATTCGAGCCGTCGCCGGGGGGCAGGGCAGGCTTCCCTGTTTGCGGCCTCTTAGGGGCAAATCTGCTGGTGAGGGGAGAGGAGCGGTGCGAGGACGACGATTTGGATTCGGCGGGTGACAAGCCTTGTGCCGCCGCCTCAGTGGATGCGGGCCCGCTGCTGGCAATATGCTCCAGGGCGTTTGAGTCTGCCAGCATGAGCGGCTGCGGCGTGGGCTTGCGTCCCATCTCGAGGGGATAGGGCGCTCGTGTGCGGACCGATGCCGCGGGGCTGAAGTGGCAGTGTCGACTCAACAGCCTGGAGTATGGCAGAGCAGAAGGAGGTGTTTTGCCTGGTTTGATCAGAGCTGGGCCTGACCCGGACCTGAGCAGCACCGAGGCGCTTGAGGTCGAGTAATGCACGAGGTGTTTAAGGGGTGGGTCGTGGGCGATATTAATCAAAGGGTCGTGGCCGCGCCGTTCAGGCAGTTGTTCGAATTCAAAGCACCCCTGCCTGTAGGGGTTCCAGACGGGCGTTCGAGCGGTTGCGGGCGAGGCTATTCGGGGCCGCCGTGATTGCGGTCGGTCGGGGATGGTGCTGGTTCTTTGCTGGCGCCGTTGTCGATGGAGAGCATGAGGTGCCAGAAGGGATGATGGTTTGGGTGGCCGAGTAGGGAAGTTAGGTACCTGAGCTAGCGCCAGTTATTACCGGTGGGGGTGTCAGGAGGAGAGGCATGCGGGTGGTGGTCGAGACAGGTGGGAGGGACCTCGTTCGAAGGACAGAGTCCGCCGGCGGATTTAGTACCTGACTATTGCAATGCGCTGTCCTGCATAGCCTGTGGCGCCGAGACGAAGGGCAACACCTTTGAGCACACGAACAGTTAGTTGTCGGCACAGGGGCGCTGTCTCGTCTGCCTCCCTTGGTGACCGTCCACGTCGTCTTCTTTGCCGACGACGCTCGTTGCATGCGACGGCCCAAGCGCCCTCCAAGGGAAGCGCGGCGCGTGCTTTCCTTGAGCAAGGGGGCGGAAGCACTATTGCCGGCTTCGATTGCCCCAGCGTTGGTAGTATCTTTGGACGAAGCACCGTCAATGAAACATGCCTGGCAACGGTCGCTGGGATGCGGTTGTACAGCAAACGCGAAGGGAGATGGCATCAAGCAAAATTTCTGTTCCCATCGAGCCGTCCATTCCTCACGCCGCCTTCTGGTGGCACGGTGCTCGTCCGCTGACGGAAACGGGTGGGAGGGGTTGCCGGGCACGCTGCGCCCGTCAGCTGCTTGCGCTTGTGCCCTTGGTGCCCTGGATGCCCACCACCGTCCGTGGCACAGCCCGCAGTCCCAGCGATCTGAAACGCTCTGTCACACCAGGCACTGGGGCCGTTGGGCTTGCACGGTGGACCCCTTGCTCAGGGGTTGGCGGCGAGTTCACTGGCTGCCCTGGGGCTCCACGCTCCACGCGGGCCGTCATCGCTGGACCCAGAGGGCCTCGTCAGGCGCGGTACCTGGCAGCCCAAGACGGATTTGGCGTTTCGTGGGCGAGGGGGGTGAGTTCGAAGCACGCACCGTGCTGCGCTGGCAACCCTCGAGGCAGGCCTTGGCGAACATCAGTCACACCCACCAGGTCGGGGCGGAGGCGCGCGCGTACAATGTTTTAATTGACTTGTTTGTGAAACGACATAAGTAATCATCGGCATCGCAGACGCGGCCACCTGCCACCGCCAGCGCTATTTCAACCTTAATGCTCAGCCGCAGGCTGCCTTGTGAGTTTGAGAGACCACATGCATCTGGTCTCAATCTACATAATAGCAAATTCTTGCCCCGAACAGTGCCTCCCTGTCCTGCGCCAAGCATTTCCCATAAGATTGGTTCTGCGGGGGCCCTGAAAGGTACATTTATAGGTAGGCCACCGCATCGGACTCGAGCTTCTTGTCATCGGGAGACCTACCACACATGGCACGCATATACGACGGGTCCCCTCCTCGAGGAACCGGCGCTTGCGCTTTACTCCGATACTGTGCCTCCGATACATTGTCGAATGCATCCTTTATTAGCAAGCCGGGCAGGGAACATGGTGAGTCCGGAAACGGCACCCTGCCGCGACACGCGACACACGGATATTCCAGCGTCATGCCGGCGACCTCGTACGAGTAAGGATTCCAAGCATCCGTGTTATTCAGGAGCAGTCCAGAGTTCCGCAAGCCGTTACAATTAACCGAGCGCAAAATTCGAGTCTTCGAGGCTAAGAAAAGCGCATCACTTCGATTATCGACATGCTTGTGCAGGCACGCACCGCTTTGGCCGGTTCGTGGTCAGAGCGTGACGAAGCAAGACATTAGCAGAGGAACTTGGTTCGGCTTACCTAGTAGGTAGATGGCCAACGACAGCTGCACAGAAGCGACAGTTCCGCCCACCGGGTGCACCTATCCCCACCGCTGACAGAATGAAGTACCTATTCGAGTACCCCAGGTACCCATAAGTACTGCTCGCTCTTTGCGCCGCGACTCACAAGCGGGGGGAGCTGGCCGAGGTACCTATGAGAGTACCCGCACCTGTCAAGGGAGCACAGCCAGACCCTGATAATGCGGACCCGCAACCCGCTTATGTCATTGCTGGGATTGGCCTGCAAAACCTCGAGCATCGGCTTGGCTTCTCCAACCTCAAGCGCTCAAATCTTCGCGCTCTGGACAGACATCGCACAGCATGACAGGCAAGGACTGTCCGCCCGAATCCTTAATGCTCGCTGCAGACGCTCATGTCAAATATGTCCAAAGCCTCGACACGAGGAAAGACGAGCTGGACTATTGGCTGACGGAACATTTGCGTCTCAACGGGGTGTATTGGGGTCTCACGGCCCTTCACCTTCTGCAAAAGCCTGACGCTCTTCCTCGCAGCGAGACGATCGACTTTGTGCTTTCTTGCCAGCATGAGAACGGCGGATTTGGAGCCGCCCCAGGTCACGATGCCCACATGCTCTCCACAGTAAGTGCTGTGCAGATTCTGGCCATGGTGGATGCCTTCGACGAGCTCGAGGCCCGGGGAGCCGGCAAGGCCAAGGTCGGTAAATGTAAGCAAAGTTGCAGCCCAGCCCATTGGATTTCCACGCTGACTCCAAAGGCAGATATCGCAGATCTGCAGGATCGCGAGACAGGGAGCTTTTACGGCGACGAGTGGGGGGAGGAGGACACGCGCTTCCTCTACGGAGCATTCAACGCGTTGTCTTTGCTCGGTCTCCTGTCGCTGGTCGATGTCGAAAAAGCTGTCAATCACATTGCAACATGCGCGAACTTTGACGGAGGATATGGCGTGAGACCTGGCGCTGAGTCGCATTCGGGTCAAATATTCACCTGCGTAGCTGCATTAAGCATCGCTGGTCGGCTCGACCTTGTTGAGGAAGAGAAGCTTGGCCGGTGGTTGAGCGAAAGACAGACTCCTGGCGGTGGCCTCAACGGTCGACCAGAGAAGAAGGAAGACGTCTGCTACAGCTGGTGGGTTTTGAGTAGCCTCGCAATCATCCGACGGACACATTGGATCGACCGGGAAGCTCTCATTAGCTTCATTCTTCGAAGTCAGGACAGCGAAAGGGGAGGTATATCCGACAGACCCGGCGACATGGTCGACGTCTGGCACACTTGCTTTGGCCTCGCCGGCCTGAGCCTTCTCGGATATCCGGGGATGGAGGCTGTGGATCCAGTCTATTGCATGCCGGAAAAGACTGTCGAGAGGCTAATCAGCCGTTGACGAAAAGAAGCGTCCAAGTTCTCCAGTGAGACGGCCATTCGGCACGTGTTTCGTCCGCTGACATGACCAAACCCCTCGTTTGGCCCGGCAGCAAACCTCTTTGCCAACAACTGTTGCCTGCTAAACTCTAAACTGTGGTAGCAAGGACGCAAGGCGAGAGGAGAGGAATCTGTTGGTTTTTCAGGGGCATCGCCAAGTCTCTATGGAGTTAGCCCTGTGAAGTCCTCCAGACATGTCAGACTATGCAGCTGAGTGTGTCCGCTCCGACTATCGTGTACTCTTCTCTGTCGAGTGCAGGTCACTAGAAATGGCTGGCCCGATTCGGCGGGCCGAACAAGCGATGGATAGCTTGTCAGCGGCATGACCGCCGCATGCACGGCCTGTCCAACCTGGACGCATGTAGCTATTCGTGCACCACAATACATTCGATACCTCGTGCAGAGCTGCACCTTTCACGTGTACTGCTTGTCCAACGATCGTCTTGCTGCTGTTCATGGTCGTCGGGCTGCGCGAGGCTCACGCCAGGCCGTCTTGCATCCGCCATGAGCATTCGTTGGTTTCTGTCTAGGTTCGTTGCCTTCCTGACAATCGCAATCGCGCATTCATCTGTTCGCCGCTACTCCGGGGCCATGCCGCACAGGTATTGCTCTAATGTGTGAATAAGCCGGCCGCGAGCCGTGAGTCGCGCAATCGCAATTCCCGTTGGTATTATCGGACGCTGTGGCCGAAGAGCCCTCGAGTTCTCCCGGTGAGCTGCCCACCCCGGCCAGCGGCGGCTGCGAGAGTTCCTACCTGCCCCCCTTTTCGCGCAACACCCTTGAAGGATTGTTGCGTATCTCTTGTCCGCTCCGAAAGACTCACCAATTATCACGGTGCGAGCATCGAAGCATGTTGATCTCGATCTTTGTGGCCCAGGGCTTCCCAGTTGCCTGTTGGCAGACCCCTCAAGGGCAGGCAGGCACTGAACCGACCGCTTGTCGGGCCGCATAGCCGCCACTGCTACCGACTGAGCAATGGTCTGGCTGGCCTGCTGTGGAAGGAGCAAGCAGGCTCTTGCCTAACATCAGCGGTACCTGCCCACCGCTCTGTGCGTGCCCGCTCTACCGTACTCTCCCCCCTACGCTCCTGCTCTGTCCCTTTCTTGTCCCCGACATCCCGAAAGTCTTGACTCGTCTCACATGCTTCCGCGTGCGCGAGGCCTTCTTCCTGCTTCACAGCCGCCTCGGTGTGTATTACCCACTCCTTCCTGTTTCTGAGCCACACGATCCGTAGGAGCCCAAACGGCTGCACTGGTACTCGTGTCCCTGGGCGTTTTGGCCGACGCAGAGGAAACCGCCAGCATCGCGGCTTCCATCCTCGCCTGAAAATAAGCGAGGGTTCAATACGACGGTAAGAGCATTACGTCTTCTTGTGTTTGGCTCCTCTTGTCTCCTCGAACTTTGTATCACGACCGACACCGCTTTCTGCTTCTCCTCCGCCGTCCACTACGCTTGACAAGTTGCTCTTTTCACCCCCGGCTCATTGCTTCAAAGCTCTTTGCTTGCCATTGCAGCTCCAGTGCGCGGTGGCGCGTCCATCGTCTCCGCGTGCTGCTACTTTCCTTGATGGTGTCCGCGTCGCCCCGTCGAGCCTCGGAGGCGAGCACTGTGAGATTCATTCGTCCGTTGCTTTTGCTGCAGCGCCCTTCATGACCGCCCCGCAGGTCACCTGAATGATGGCTGATTTCCTTTCTACAGAGAATGGCGTCTTTGGCCACGAGCAGGGCTGGCACGCCTGGTTCGACGAACAAGCAAATTCCGCTTCTCTGCGTCGTGTGTCCCGAAGCGCCGCACTTCTCCGACGTATCGCACTTGCTCACACACATTGCGTCCAAAGGCCACCTGCACCACGAGACCCAGACCAGGCTTAAATCACATCAAGACATCGCGGCTTCAGTCACTCTTGGACAGTATGAGCAGTGGTACAAGGACAACGGCATCGAAGCGCTTTTGGTCGAGCGAATGAGGGCTAAGCAGCTCAAGGAGGCCGTGAGAAACAGGCGTTCGAGAGGCACAACGCAAACTCCAGCTCTCAAGGTTCGTCTCCCTTTCGCTCATTAATATGGCCCTCTGACCTGAGTATATAGTCAAAGAGACGATCGAAACGTCCCGCCAATTCCACATCTTCGAGGCCGGACGCCGAAGAATTCGGCTCGGAGCTTCCTCTGTTCCCCCCATTCGTCCATTCTGACAATGACACGGAGATGCAGGATGGAATATACACAAGCCAGGACATGCTGTCGTTAAAGGGCCAGGTCTGGCCTGGCATGGGCAAAATGGACCTTGCAAACGAGGACATGAAGCGGACCCGCAATCAGCGCAAGCCCAACTCTGTCATTGAAAAGATGCGGAGGACTTCAGAGGGCATTGAGCCTACGCAGGTTGTGATGACCTCAGAATTCGAAGTTGAGCGAGTCAAAGGGGTGTATGACAGCTCGTCGCCAGTACCAGGACAGGAAGAAGAGGTACAACCACGCCGCTGCCCCTGTTCTATTCTCCGCTTACCAGATATTACAGACCCCGAAGAAGCAAACAAGACCGAAGCGCAAACGAACGGGGGCACTGGCGGAAATCTCGTCCAATGTGCCCCGCGGTGGAAATCGCCGCCTGGCGCGAAATACACAGGCAAGCGACACGAAGATTCCCAGGCTCAAGTCGGATGATGGCGAGGATGGCAGCGAAGTCTTTCCTTCGTCGCTCGGGGGCTTTCGACACGGACATGATGTATTCTGCGACGGGGACGGGGCCACCGGTATTTTGTCGGCTTTGGGATCTCGAAGCGACATTTTGACGGGTGCAGGGCCCTACGACGGCCGCCCATTCACTCCGCCCGGTCAGGATCAAAAGTAATGTCGAGAGCCCTTTCCGTTGCCAAACGCCTTCTAACAAAGAAATATTGCAGGTACGACATTCGAGATACCCAGAGTCTGCAGACTCTTAACTCCATGCCGCATTCAACTTTGATGTCGCCGACGCCAACATCAAGAAGCGTATCTGCTCGTCTGCTATCTACCCAGGATCCGCAGAGAGCGAGAGCGCATGGCCCGGGCTATTTTGGACATAGCACTTACATGGCTTTGAGTAAGTAATCTCAATGATTCTCCTGAGCGATAGCCTGAGCGTGTCGGAAGGCTGACAATTTGAAGGCACTTTTGGCCACCAAGAACCTGCCTACGGTCTCAACGACGGCCCAATTTATGGCAACTCCGCAAAGTCGTTTTCCACTGCCAGCCACTTCAATACTCTCCCCCAGGACAGCTTCCGTCTCAGTCCAAGCAGCTCCTTGCAGCCAAAGCACGAAGAGTACCCGAGTTGCGCCACGATAGACTCGCTATCCGCGTCCGGCAACACCCAGTTCCTTTCCGTGCCAGAGTGCAACCCCCTCTTCACCCAGGATCGAATCTTCCCCACGTCTTACGGCCATTCAACACCAAACCCCTCACTGTCCTCACTTGGGTTTACTCCGATCAATCGTGACAAGGACCCTGGTCAGGGGACTCAAGATGATCAAAATCCGATTCCGCCCGCTGCTAGTATCAAGTTGGAATCTCAGTCCTGTGATGGCTTCGGCGGAACACAGTCAAGGGACAACAGGCACCCCAATTTTGCCGATGGTCTCTGGGGCGCTCGACCACAACCCGAGGGCGGTGAAATTCGGGACGGACTCGATGAAGAGCTGAGCATGTGATCCTCGTACCGCTTCATGCGTTGGAAGCCTAAAGTCTAACTAGCCTCCACGCAAAGTCCAACTTCGTCACTGACTCTTTCGACACATTGTGGCGAAGCCTCGAGCGCAAGAGCCACGAAATCAGCCCTGGAGTGTCTCACAACAACGTGGACTCCATTTGCACGGAGCAGGCAGGCAGATGATCTCGAAAAGACGAAACATTCCCCTCCTATAAAGCAGCCACTTGTTGCGTCGAACGACTAAGCGTTAAGGAGCTAATCCTCATCGCGTGTATGCAGCGAACTGTCACAGTAACCCCCTTCTTTCAGCAAAGCACCGGCGCGGGATTCGTTTTTTTTTTTTGGCGGAGACGGAACTTGGCAGCACTAGCACGTTGTTTGAGTGAGTACTTCCTTTCATTTTCGTTATGGTAGAGGCTGCGGAGGAAATCAACGTAGCAGGGCCTCGTTGAATGTGTAGGTGCGCGGACTGGCGGCGTGCTCAGGGCTCTGGCCTCCCGCACCGTGGTTCGTAGCCATTCCAAGGCTTGGTGAGGCAATGCGTTCAACAAACTTACACTCGGTGTCAAAGCGCTATCAAGACCAGGAAGTAATTACAATTTTGAAGCCACTATCTGCTACAAATACAAACTCCGGTCTATACCATGGGAACGCCGAGTCAAAGGGGATATGATCTCTTCTTGTGTGGTTTTCAGAGCTGCTCAATGCTGGCAACAAGTTGGCCGAGGTGCTGTGAGGCGTCTTGTGAAACGACCTCCTCCAAAGCTCGGTAGGCTCCTTTGAGCCGACGCACTCGCATACCAAGTTCCATTTCACTTGACTTTTCTGCTGCCACATCAAGCACCTTCTTGGGTATGCGTGCCAATCGAGCAACGTTCAGACCATATGAGCGATGGGCAATGCCCTCGCCGACCTCATACAAGAAGGTGATTTCCTCCTCGCCATCACTGTTGACGTCGGCCTTGAATCTCATATGCACATTTGAAACACCGTCTAGGCCATCAACCACACGGGCGAGATTCTGATAGTGGGTGATGAAGAGAGTAAGACAACGAGTCTCGGTCACCACGTGCTGCAGGACTGACTGGGCGATGGCGGCGCCATCGTGAGTGCTGGTGCCGCGGCCCAGCTCGTCCAAGATAACCAGGCTGCGCGGCGTGGCGGACCGGAGAATGCGAGCCGTCTCTGAAACCTCGACCATGAACGTAGACTCGCCGGCGAATAAATTGTCCCTCGCGCCAGTACGAGTGTGGATGGCATCGCAGAGGGTGAGGGACAGTGCATCGGCGGGTACGAATGAACCGATCTGGGCGAGGAGAACATTCAGGGCGAAGGCGCGCACAAACGACGACTTGCCACCCATGTTTGGGCCTGTGATGAGGTGGGCCATCGGCGAGGGGTGTCCAAGGGTGGTGGTGAAGGGGATGTAGCCGTAGTCCAGGGTTTGCTCGGCGATGGGATGCCGCCCTTGCGTGATGGATATAGTGGGCTCCGTGGAGGCGGGGAGGAAGGTCGGCCGGTTGTAGCCTGGCTGGCTGGCAACTTTTGACAGTGACAGGAGGCAGTCGAGACTTGCCAGAGCTGCTACTGCATCACGAAGCGGTTGGTAGTCGGCAGAAATCTCTGCGAGAAGGTCCTTGAATGCCTTGTCGCAGGCGGCAGCGAGTGCCTCCCTGTGTTGGTCTCGCTCTGTGATGAGACGCAGTACCTCGGGTGTGTGGAAGCGAGAGAGCTTCTTGGTACCGGAGATCTTGCTCCAAGAGGCGGGGACATTCTTGATTTCGCTGTTGGGCACCTCGATGAGATACTCGATGCCTGCGACCGTGACGTAGTCGACGGACTTCTTTTTGATCTTCTGTGCTGCGACCGACCGGTGAGAGTCAAGCTCGTGCTCGACGTGGGCGATTCCCAGCTGATGATCCTGTATGTCCTCTGTTTGGTACTCGTCGCGAAAGAATCCGTATTTGTCGTCCTTGCGAGCGGCCTGGAGATTGATGCGCTCCAGATAGGATACAACAGCTTCAAGGATCTGAGGTAGAGTTCCAACCGCTGCGGTCAGGAGAGGAGACGAGAAAGGCGAATCGGATGGAGAAGCTGGTCTTGAATAGTGCATGGCAATCTTTTGCAGCGTCTGCAGGACAGACAGAAGTTCAGGCCTGGTGCACTTGCCATAGTAGATGCGGATGAGGCTGCGTTCGAGGTCGGCTTTGATGCTAGACAGCAGGTTCTCCACCTCATTGACTGGAGCCGTTGATTGTTTGTCGAGGAGCTCTTGCACTGCTGAAAGTCTCTGCTCAAGGCTCTCCAGATCGAGAAGGGGCCTGCCCACCCATTTGCGGAGGAGGCGCTGGCCAAAACGCGTCAGGGTCTTATCAACGGCCCAGAACAGGCTGCCCCTTTCTGAATGATCGGTCGAGTTCCGATAGACCTCCAGGCTCTCGAGGGTGGTTCCATTGATCAAAACGTGAGATCGGGTGCTGAAACTTTGGAAGTATTTTGTAAGATCAAAGATGTGCTCCAGGCCGTACTCCTTCAAATGGTTGATCATGGCTGAGAGACAGATCGTAACTGGCTCAGTCAACTTGAGGACTTTGTCCAGGAGAGCGCTTGCTGTTTCGTCCTGAGACGCCGCCTTAACCTTGTCGGCGTAGAATTGAGTTACGTGAGAGTGAGCTTCCGCGGCCATCGTTTGGTTCTTGGGGACCCTCTCGACGCGACTCCGATCTCCAAAGACGTTGGTGCTGCTTCCCGATAGGTGCTGGATCAGCTTGTCGGTCCCCTTGGTGAGCTCGCCCACGATGAGAAACTCGCATGGTGATATGTGCAGCAGTCGAGTCTCGATCTCGCTTCTCATGAAGCCGTCCTCAAATGTGTCGTAGATGATATCCCCCGTCGCAGGCTGGACGGCAAGAATGCCGACGTCGACCTTTTCGTCGCTCCCCAGTCCTTTCGATTTTGTCTCTGTGATGCAGAGTAGATAGCCTCCGGCTGGTGCCCCGCCAGACTGCTGATCCAGTTCGCCATTCTCGTCAATGTACGTGCCTTTGGTATAGAGATTCGTGAGCTTCCGGATAAAGGGCGTGTTTCTATTATCTCCCGCTTTTTTGAGGGCTGCCGTCTCAACCTGGCGGACCACCCCAACCTTGTGGCCGGCGGCGACAAGGCGCTTCGCGTGTACTGGAAGTCGATGCACGGGTATGCTCGCGGACGCAAATCGGTCGAGATGGGCTTCAGAAGGGTCTGTGACCAACAATTAGCAACGGCCGTCGCTGAGGGTTTTGGGACTTACGCTCGTCGTATCGCATCTTGCCTGGGATGCATACTATACTGAGCTCCTTGGCCGCTATCCTCGCATCCTCGCCGAAGAAACGAAACTTGTATCCGACCTCAACGATGAGGATCGTGTCCATGTGCTTCCGCTTGATATCCAAGAACTGAACTTCCATTGGCGTGAGCTTCCCCGTCTTGGCCCCCTTCTTCTTTGTCCTCGTTGGCGCCACTTCTTCTTCCTCAGCAGCATCTCCGTCAGCGTCGCCATCTTCCGCAGCGACTTGGTCTTCGTCGTGTGTGCCACGAGCCCGCCAACTCATAGCGTCAGGATGGCCGAGCTTCTTGACAAATCGCCGATGAAGATCCTCGTTTCGGCGTCTTGTGGCTAGGTCATCCCCGTCTGGGCCGGCGTCAGCAGCAGCCAAAGAGCCACTGTCACCATACATGAACCGCCCGGCACGGTCCGAGGCAGAACCTCTGCCATCTTTACCGATCGTCTCGTGGCTGGTGGATGCTTTGGAGGTCGTGCCGCTGTGGTTCGCTGAATCGTAATCGCCATCGGCTCTTGCTCTCTTTGTTATACGCTCGGTCGCCCTGTTGGCCCGATCTGTGTCGTCTTCGAGCGGACGCTTCCGCGTTGATGGGCTGCCGTCGTGCTGCCCTTCGGATTGCGATTGAGCCTGCTTCCGGAACGCTGCGTCGAGCCCATTGATCGTCTTGGGGGTGAAGAAGGAAGTCAGCGACTGCTGTTTCTTCTCCGACGCCTTCGGTGTTGGTGCCATCGCGGTGAAGATGTCGCCTTTTGGCCGCGATAGCCCAAAGTGCGACACGATTGCGAACCCAAGCGACCTTGGAAAGAGAGGCTCGCAATGCGTGAAGCTCCAGTGGCGCGTCCTGTCGAGACGCGTTGAGTGGCGGGCTCCACCCACAGGTCAGTCGCAGTCTTATCTTATCAGGGCGTCATACTTTAAGAGTAGTGCTATTTGTAGAGCCAACTTTTAAGCTCGTTGTAGAGCCGTCCTACATATTATCTCGGCCGCGCCCTTACCCCATGCTGCGATAGCCATTTTTGTTGCGCAAGCATAGGACGACAGGGCGCTCTACCTATTGCTAGTAGTTTGCTACTATTCCCCCCGTTGCTTTCGCTGCTGTCGTTGCTTTCGCTGCTGTCGTTTCTCTCGTTGCTGCTGCGGTAGGGCGGGGCTCTACAGCCAGCAAAAGTCGGCTCTACGAATAGCACTACTCTACTTTAATGGGCAGCAGGCCATGGCGAACAACTCTATCCCAGGAACTTCGTCCACTTCTTTTCAGTGGCCAACGGCCTAAATGGGAGACTATTACGAAAGCAAGCGGGTGCACGGATGTGGCGCGAATAATATAAACCCTTGGACAAGGCTCATGTCGAGGATGAGTGCCTCTTTGTCAGGCGGAACATGCTCAACCTGCTCTCGCCAAGACGCAAACCGTCTTGTCTCCGCTCGCCAGGCCAGCCAGCAGCGCCAGAAAAGTGACGAATGGGAGGTACAGAGGGGGAAATCAGCGCCCCTACGTCATATTCGACCTGCCAACACTACGGGAAAGGAGCGTGAGCTTTCCGCAAGCGCTGGGAGGTCTTCTGACATCGTCCCCCGTTGCACAGCCTCAAGGCCTGCGTGTTCGCCCACGCGCGTACAGCAATGCGGGCTCGACTCTCTCGCCTTAGAGACGACTTTCTTGGCTTCAGTCCTCGGCGGCTACAGGAAGGCGAGGCAATTCAATGCCCAAATCTCGGCGCTTACAGCGAGGCTTGACAGCCAATTAGAGCTGCTGTGGGGGCGAGACGGAGCTCCCCAGGCCACTAGCTTTCGACTTTGTAGCGTCGGCCCGCTCAGTGGCACCAGCTTCGGCCACTAGAAATCGCGGCGCGCAGTCTCGGTCCCTGCCCCTGTGGGTCCCTGGGGGATGTTGCCGCCCGGTCCCCTGTTCCAGATGCTCCCCTCAAGCCCTCCACTGAGAGCTCAGACAGGGCAGCTTAGGTTGCTCAGACACGTCGGAGGCCCTGGGCTTGCTTGGAGCCTGGCAAGACGGAGCGCGTGGCATCGGCCGAGCTGATATTTTTCCCTCTGCCTTGCACCGCCCTCACCCAGGGGCTGCATCTTTCCCCTCCGTCCCGCCCTGCATCCAAAGATTCCAAGCTTGCCTCGCTGCGTGGGATTTGTCGCTATCCGTCCCAGTTGTGACATTCAACTACTAAAGCCATCTTCTCCCGCGACTCCAGGTCCCACCTAGGCGGCCTATTCTGCGACCCGTCCCGCAGGATAAGCGACCCCGCCATCGATCCGCAGCCTTCATCGCGACCAGAACCGAAGCTCTTGTATCATCGAGCTCAGAAGGCCCCGTCTGTCGCAACCCGGCCGCTTCTGGCGGCCTCACCAGAACCGTTCAGCCCAGAGGATAATTGGCTAGGGCGCATCACAAGCTCACGCGGCCGCCACCTTGCGTCATATCGCGCTGTCTGAACTGTCACGGAGACGGTCGCATCTGCCGTCGCCTATCATGGAGTCAAGCCGTGGCGTGCCAGATGGGGAGATGTTCCTGAGCAAGCCGGCGCCTGATGACTGCGGCGACAGTCCTACCGTCGAGCCGCTGCGCATCTTCAAGCCGCAGAGTCCCAGACCAGCGTCAGGCGGCGCATCGTCATCTTCGTTTAACAAACCATCGTTCCCACTGCCTCCAGGCGCATCGAGCTCGGCAGCCCCGTTACCGTTCCCCGATGACGATGACGTCCGCAAATACACGCCTCCCAAACCGTACGGCTCCGCTTACAACGACACGTCGCCTCGCATAGACACAAGCTCCGGTGAGAAGAAGCCTGGGCTTGCCGAGAGGAGAGGCGCCTCGCCCAAGGTCATACAATCCCCTTCGAGCCCCGAAGCAGACCATGGGCTGTTCGCGAGGCCTTTGAAGGAGCAGCCTCGGCCTGCCTCCTCCAATACGAACTACCCGACGTATCAGAAGACCTATTACCCTCCTCCTGACGCCGCGGCGAGCGCTGGCTCCTCTGGAAACGTCCCGCAGCCGCAGGCTACAGGAGCGAGCGTAGCAGGTGGCGGTAGTAGTAGCAGCCAGTCAACAATGAACGACCAGGGGGTCAACCGGTTCGCTTCAACAGCCTCGAACTCCACAACGAGGGCGAACCGTGGCTCGCCTCCACCGCCCGAGACTCCGATCGTAGAACCGGGCACGATTCCTGGGGGAGGGATAGAAGCACGGTACGCGGCGTCAGGGATCTCAGGAACCGCGACTCTCAACAGCCTCCAAGCCCACCAAGCTCAGAGTGCCGCCGCGGCGCAGAGGCTGGCACATTATGGAAATCAGCCGCCGCAGGTCCAGCGGCCGTGGACTCCTACTGAGGTCCCAGGACAAGCCCCTTCGGGTCCCCCTACGGTTTATCAGGGGGCAAATCCGATCTCGAGTCCCCAGCCGCAGCCAACCTTTAGCCCACCTCCAGAACAACCCCCTCAGGATCAACAGAGTGCTCCGGCCCAGGTCAGTGTCTTGGAACAGGATTTCCAACGCCTGGGCACCAAAACACCACCTCCCGCTTACTCAAGCCTGAACCCGAATGGAACGCCTGCCTACCCCAGCGAGAAGCAACGCCCACAGCAGCAGCAGCCTCAGCAGCAGCAAGCCCAACAGCCCACAGCTTCGCCTGCACCCGCTGCTAGCTCCTCGTCGACTCCTCCGCAGAAACCAGCCGCCGTAGTCGCGACAACCACAGGAGGCCTCGCCTCGCCGGCTCTTCAGCACCCAGGCCATCCAGCATTCGCCAATGACCCTCGGCCGGAGACCAACGGCCAACCATCGCAGACGGTAGCTTCACCGGCTCCTGTTGCTGCCACACCCGCCTCCCCTCCACCCTTGCCGGAAGGCTGGATAGCTCACCTGGACCAGAACTCTGGCCAATACTACTATATCCATCTCGCTACTCAAGCCACGCAGTGGGAGTTTCCGAAAGGTCCGAACCCCATTCAGCATGAGCAGGCACCGCTTTCGCCCGTCGCCTCGACGTATGGGAATCCGTTGACATCACCCATGTTTGGCAAACAGTCGATGGCGTCCCCCATGTTCCCGCCACATACCCCAGGCTACGCCGAAAGCATCATGAGTGTTGCTGCCTCCCAGACTCCGACGACTGCTGGCTTCTCTGGCCCCCCGCCGAGCTCTGGCGTCGATATGTACAGGATACAGCCAACCAACGGTGTGTACTTCGGTCCATATCTGCGATATGTGAACATGGATCTTGAGAAAGGCATGTGGCATGGTAGCATCCTGATTGTTACCGATGCCCCTCAACCACCTACCATCCACTTGCACCTGAGTATGGATCTATCACCAAATCCGAGACAGCTGCAGCCTCGCGTGATCTACACTCACCAACGCTGGTCCTTCTACAAATACGAGATCGAGGTGCAGATGGGCGAAGGTGGCACCGAGAGGTGGACGTATGCCGTAACGTCCCACTTGGGCTGCACTCGTTACGAGTTTGTTGTCGCCGGTCGCCACGAAATCGGATGGCGATTTATTGCGCACTCTGGAAATGACTTCGCCGCGGGCACGACTCAGAATGAACGTGCCAGATTGGGTGGTGTCGGTTTCATGTGGAAAGATGTGCTGCAGAAGAATGTTGACTGCGGCGGCTTCCACGTCCAACTCGGCCTCGGCGACCAAATATACGGCGACAGGTTGTGGAAGGAGGTTCCCCTCCTGAAACAGTGGTTGGCCATGAGTGGTCGCGACAACAAGAAGAACGTCCAATGGACAGCTCGCCACGAAGAGGACGTGTCACATGCTTACTTTCACTTCTACACAAGCCACTTCGATCAACCATTCTTGCGCGAGGCGTTCGCTCAGATCCCCCACGTTTTGCAGATCAATGACCATGACATGTGAGTTCACACACGCTTTGCAGAAGACATCTTTGGTGTACTGACACGGAGCAGCTTTGACGGTTACGGTTCCTATCCGGCCTACATGCAGAATTCCCCGATGTTCAAGAATATCGGTCGGATTGCTACGGACATGTACCTGCTCTTCCAGCACCACACAACAACAGAGTTGATGAGAAACGTCAGCACCGACCACGACATATTCACGATTACTGGCACGGGGTGGCATTTCGTCAAGTTCTTGGGGCCAGCTGTCGCCGTGGTTGGACCTGATTGTCGCTCTGAGAGGACTCAAGCTCGAGTCCTAGCCGGTCCGACATACCAGGGCATTTTCCCCAAAGTCGCCACGCTTCCTCCGAGCGTCCAGCATGTCATCTGGATGGTGTCGGTGCCGCTGATATACCCTCGACTTGACACGGTTGAAAGCCTGGCGAACACGGTTGCTGTCGGCAAAAAGGCTGTCAACACGACGTACAACATTCTCGGCAAGGTCACTAGTTCGGTCGCCGGTGTTGTTGGCGGCAAGGAGGTCGTAGCACAGGGGTTTTCGCAAGTGAAGAAGGCGGTTGGCAAGACTGGTCTGATGGGCAACGTCCTAAATCAGTTTGGCGAACTCGACATCCAAGAAGTCCTGAAGGACATGTGGACGCATGACACCAAAGACCTCGAGCGGACGTATTTTATCCGAACTCTGCAAGGTATTGCCCAACAGAAGGGCATACGTATGACGTTTCTGTCTGGAGGTAAGTTTCTCGAACTCCTCAGCTAAAAGACCCATCTTACGGAGCTAACACGGCGAATAGACGTGAATGCCTCTGGTGCCGGGTTGGTACATGATCCGACACACCCTGCGGATCACAAGACCATGTATCAGATTATCTCATCCCCCATTGTGGGAGCACCGCAGGGCGGCTACGTCCTGAAGATGCTGCACAATCAGAAGACGCTGTACGTGCCTCAGAACGGGCAAAAGACGACCAACGAAGTATCGGACACCAAGGAGGATATGATGGAGATTTTCCACACCGACGCTAGCGGGGCCAGCCGCGAGCTGAAGAAACTGATGGGGAGGAGGAACTATGTCGCCTTCGTCGCGTATGACCAGGAGGCGGCGAACCAGGCACCCTTCAGCCCAAATCCAAGCATCAGCAGCCAGCAGCAGCAACAAGGCTTGTCCAAGTTGAGCATTGCGGTGGATTTTGTGGTGCAAGGAGACGGGCCGTTCCAAGCAACAACAAAGTATGGCCCGGTCATCATCCCTCACCTTGAATTTGGACGATGAGCTGCAGAATCTTTTGCTATATATGGAAGACGTGGGATTTTTCAGAGGCACAACTAGCGAACCTGTTGAATTTGCAAACCTTGAATGCGGCTTTCTGTCTACTTCGGGATCTTTTGTGTGTGTAAAGCCCGCTGCCTTACGTCCTTGAGCGGTGTGTTCTGTCGTGTTGTTGACAATTGAGATAACCTTGGAACGACTGACTGACTGAAGCCAAAGACCAATTCTTGAGTGTATATTATATCTAGATGCTACGAAGAGCTCAAATAGAACTGTCAAAGTCCACAGTCGACCACAAATTCGTGGTACTGGGCTCCGTAAAGGCTGTCGTTACCTCCGTTTCGTTGTCACGTTCTGCTGCCACACGGCAGCACTCTGCTTGCCTCAGGCCATATTCGGTGACTCTTGTGCTACATTTGGCGCTTTACAGTTGAAACAGCTCCTTCAGAATTGCCATGGTCTCCTCAGGGTTCTTGACCGAGTGGCCAGTGGTAGCCGGGTGGTTATAGATCTCGTAATCGTTGCCGCCTTCGAAGGTCTTGTCGCCAAAGAAGTGAATGGTCTTGTATTCGACGCCGCCCTTCTTGGCCTCGTTCTCGAGATGCTGAAGGCAATAGGTCTTGTCCCAGCCGGTGGGAAAGACGTCAAAGGAAATTTGGCCACCGATGGAGAAGCTGCGCCAGTGTCAGCATTGTGACGTCCACAGCCACGTTCACCGCCGTCTGAGACGGGAGATACCGAGGCACACGAAAGAGAGAGAAGCAACGTACGTCAGACCCAGGCCTCCAAAGCGCTCCCTGAGAGCGGCAACAAATTTCTCGCGCACCTTGGCGTCCTTGTCGTACGCCTGGAAGTCAAGCCTCTCCTGCGTGCTCGCATTCCTGCCGATTGGGCTAACATTGATCATGCCGTTGCGGAACTCGATGAACGTGCCGCGCTTGATGGGGATGTCGAGATCGGCAATGTAGTGCAGGCAGAAGTTGGCGAGCTCCTTGTACTTGTCCTCGCCGATCCAGCGGATGAAGCTGTTGGACGGCAGCGACTGTCCCAGCTTGTAGGCGGTGAGGCCGTTCTCGGAGAAGCAGAAGTCGAAGAGCTGCGTGACGGGGAGGCCAGCCGGCTTTCCCAGCTGCTCCTCCTGCTTGCTGAAGTCGGAGCCGCCGACGAAGCCGATGGCGCACTTCTGGCGCAGAGCCTGGAGGAGGGAGAGCATCTCGGGGGAGGCGGCCTGTGTGACCCCGCGGGAAACGGGCGCAGTCAGTCATTGAGATTCTCCAACTGCTGCGTACGGTTCGCACGGCCAAGCAGGCGCAGTGGGAGCTGGGGACATACCAGGCGAGCAGGCGTCAGGGTGCCATCAACGTCGAAGAGGCAGATGGTGTTCTTCAACGGACGCTCCTCGAGCGGGGGGAAAGTCGGGGGTTGCGTGAACGCCATGGCTGTAATTCGTATGCTCGCGAGCGAAAAGGCAGATTTGTAGAAAGGGTTTGTCTCGGCGACTTCAGAAGGGAAAGGCGGAGAGGGCGCGCAGGCAATTGAGGACGACGAGGCCGGGGAATCGAGGACAGATATGTTGGAGATGGGAATTCGGGGGAGGGGTCGAGGGCGGTCTGGAGGGGCGAAGCTGCAAGTACTTGCAGGGAACAAATTGAGCTAGCTGCTCGAGCTGGCGTGGATGGGCTTCCCCCGCGGTGACTGACAACTTGTCCTCCGACAAAGGGGGCTTTGGCCGTCCTTACAACAGACCGACTGCAACGTGTCAAAATGTGTCGAAGAGGCTGCCAGGCTGTTCCAATTGCCTGATTTCGTCTCAAGACAGCTTGGCAATTGACATTCCCAAGTGTCGACGCCGACATCCGGCCTGTTCAAGTTCTTGCGCTCCATACTTCGTACAGTGCTTCCGGAGCCTCGCCGCCATTGCGGCCCGTGCTCAATCGCAATGGCGGGGCATCGGTCTACCCCAACCCGCCAGAGGTTCTTCCGCAATGGCCTGCGATAGCGCCGGACGCTCTCATTCCGTAGCACAAGACAATGCACGACATGGATTTTGTTGCTGCTGCACATGGAGGACAAATAAAGTTCGGTTGGTTCAGGTCAGATTGTCATCCCCTCACGAACAGCCCACTTGCTCTATGAAACCCCTTGCCTGGACGGGATTGCCGAACGCCGCATATATCAATAACGAGTTGAGGCAGCGGAACTCAAGATCGCTCTCTTCTGTGCAGAAACAGACGCATGCCACGCCAAATAACAGATAGGTTGAACGCCCAGACGTGCAGTCCATGCTATACCCATACTTGAAAACGACAGACTCCGAGAACGCTCCTCAGTGCCCCGAGGTGTAAACTGTGCCTAGGCATCCATTCCCCAGATCCCAGTCACCTCCACCACGACGTTCAAGATCGTGCTGACAGTCCATAATGCAATCAAGCACCAACCTATCTTGCGGCTTAGAATCCACTTGTTCAAAGGGACGAGAATGAGTAACAGTAAAAGCATGACGAGCAGTGTGACGCTCGATATCAGCAAAGTCCCGCCGACCTGGACAGGGTACGGTCCGTATCGAAGTGGCTTCTCGGGGTGCTTCTTGTGTTTTCGGTTGGCGCCTTGGACCATCATCATCACACCACCTATCCCGATGCCTAGTAATATGTTGAGCATCGGCCCTCCGAAGCAGGCGCATCTGTGAAAACAATGTCAGCTATGATCGGGACCATAGGCGCGGAGTTCCCCTGCTTACAGTGCCATAACAGGGTAGCCAAGCCGGGCAACCGTAATGTCAGCCACCAAGTCGCCAATACTGTTGCCCGCCGCGAAGATGGTTAGACCCAGCAGAGCCTCGGATATTCCGAGAATGACACCAAAGGCTTTCAAAACTCCAACGACTTCGCCGGCGACAGTTGAAATCCACGCAATGCTAATGATGAATCCGAGAAAACAAAGAATGTAATGAAACTTGGGTCGCTGGTGCTCACTTGTTGTCAAGAGCAAAACAGCCAAGAGCACAAGCGAGAACAGAAGTGTGTACAGCACCATCTTCACAAGCTCTCTGCCGGGTTCGTCCCAATCCTCTGCCAGGTTTGCCCACAGGACGAACACTGCGAAAAGCGGTCCAGAGAACAACTGTAGGCAGACGAGCCACCGGTTCCAGGGTGCACACTCATCGTTGGCGTTGCTTATTGACGGGAGATTCGATGCGGATTTCGGTGGGAGGCTCGACGGCCGCGGCGACGGCGCGATAGCCGACTCTACCGCAGTCTCCTCCTGTTCCAGAGGAAGGGGCATACTGGATGACAGGTTAGGGACCAGCTGATGGCTGCCATGCCGGATCAACGAGCGACGGCGATACCGCTCCCACTCGCTCTCTGGTTCAATCTCTCGCGGCTCAACGGAAACAGCAGGTGCAGAGTGAGCAAGAAGCGGCCGGCTCACTGGCTCCACGATAGTCCCATCGATGGACGCGTCGTCCTCGTTTGTCTCCGAGTCCACGACTGGCAATGTGATTACCAGCAAAAAGATGGTGGGCACTGATAGGGCGCTCGCAAACTTGTCCCAGTATGTCTTTTCTTGCCAGCCTTGTAGCGTTGGGAACAGAGTAGCCAGGAGCACGTGCGGTGGCGGCAACACCGAGTACGGCCACCACTTGACGGGACGGGCAACTTGTAAGGGCATCTGCAGGTCGGGGAAGTGGTCGTCTCTCCTGGCGACAGCTGGGGAAGGGAGGAGCATGAATTCGGGATGCCCGGATTGTGGATGGGGCGTGAGTAGCATTGGCGATTCTGAGAATCGAGGAAATGGAGTGCTCGGAGACGACAGGTTGCTCTGGCTGCTGCGCCGGCTCGGAATCTGCAGCTTCAATTTGGGCGAATGTGCCCGCTCCCCAGTACCATCATGCGAGTCGTCGAGAAGTGTTCCCTTAGAGTCCGTAGGAGGCGGTGCAAGGTTTCCACCTATTTGGTAAGATAGGGTTGGCGTTGGAGCCTTCTGACTACTGTCGTGGTCCTCTGGTCGCTGAAGACTTGATTGTTCGGCGTCCAAGTGGTCGCTCAGCATCGGGATGGCGGGCGCCGAAGAGGTCGGCATATCCCCGGACGACAGCGCACGATCTCTGCGTGCTGTCGTTGCATCGGTCGGTGAGATCGCGTCCTGGCTGTCGTCGTAGAGGTGGGAAGTGACGGCGACGGTGCCTCTTCTGGCGCGACGGTTGATGAGGTTTTCCGAATGGCTGCGGCCAGAGATGGGAGAAAGCTGGAGATTGCTTTCCCGCTGCAGCTGCGCCAGCGCGGATCGGAATTCGAGCGCTCCGAACAGACTAGGTCGGATGGGATTCATGTTATGGTGCCGTTTCGGTCCAGTCCGCAAGACTCGCATGTTCCTCGTGACTTCGGCAGCCACCATGCGCTCGTGGTCTCCGTCGACGTCCTCATCGCTGGAGGCGGCGTCGATGTTTTCTGCTCGGCCATCTACTTCAATCCTCGGCCCTTGCTCGAAGGAGGCGGTTGCCGGCGCGGACGAGCTGCGTCTCGACGAGCCTCGTACCTCCTGGTCGGCGTCCTCGGGTTCGTCTCTGTAAGGCTCCCCAGCCAACTCGTCCCCGGACTGTCCCACAGCTCCGTAAAAGTTACTGCGTGCTTCACCTTCTCGCCGCAGTCGTCGTTTCCTCTGCGTCGAGTACCAATGCCATCCGACAACGGTGACAACGTATATAACATAGTACCCTATCATCGCCCAACACTCCCAAAACAGAAGCTCTTGGTCTGCGAGGAATGCCATGGTGAAACACACAGCAACGATAAAGAAGCCAATGTCGCGCGTGTATGTCTTTCTATCCACTCTGAATTCGCGTACCAGCGCCATGGAGCCGGCGACCACACCTGTGATGAAGCAGGCCGCCCCGATGAGCTCGCCCACGGCCATGCCGGGGCTATTGGAGCTCATGGCGGCAAAGGTGCTGAAGACATCAGGCGACCCATTGCCAAAGGCGAGAAACGTGACGCCGGCCAAGCTCTCGCTCAGGCCGAGGATCGTGGCGATGGTACTGAGATTGATGCTGAAGAAATCGCTGGCGGCGATGCCAATCGTGGTGAAGAGTAAGCCCAGCCACAGCACCAGCAGGACAAATGCTACCGGCTGAGCATGGCTGAGGCCGCAATAGTAGAAGTCGAGGTATGGAAGGAGGCCCGCATCGTCGTCCTTGCAGTACTGCCTGACGAAGGCGCATTGGTCTTCGGCCGAGTGGACTTCGCTGCATTCGGGTGCTTTTGCGCGGCGGGTGAGAAGCGAGGCGTCTCGGTCGACATCGTGGTCGAGATGGTGGCGGCGCCCATGCTGCGACAGGAATGCATAGGCCGTCAGCAGGGACAGGAGGAGAATGGTGACGTAGAACGGGCGCGCGCGCGCACGCGCACGGGTGCCTCGGGATCGGATCGGCGACATGCTTGTCGTATCATCACGTCGCGGCCCTCGGGCCCAGCGTCTCGGGCTGTGGGAGAAGAAAAAGCTCCTGAGGCATGCCCAGGAAAAGGGAAACTCTAGGACGGCGGACGAATATAGGCACCCGAAGAGTGCTGAGGCCTAGGGCATTGCTTGTAATGTGGTGTGGGAGAGTCGTCTTGTCGTACGACACCAAAGCGGATCGGTATTATCTGGAGACCTCGATTCCTTGCGTTGGGGCCACCTGTAGCCACCGCGGCGCAGAATTGAAGGGGGCCCTGTCGCGCCTGTCGCACTCCACCATCCTCGCTGGGCTTGGGGCGCTTGGGCACTTTGGTGGCGGGCCTTGCTTGGGACGCAACGAGCGCGTCATGCCTGTCCACGTACTGGATGCCACCACGAATTAAGGTACCTGCTAGCGGAGGGGAATGCGCGGGGAGGGGGGGCTGGTTGGCTGCCTCTTCCGCGGTGCGTCACGGCCTGCCTCATCAAGCTCGTTTCGTCAGGCCTGTCTGGGGGGGCATGTCTCGAGCAATCGAAGACGCCCCTTGGTCTTGCACTCATGGTGCCAGCACGAGCCAGATGCAGGCTTGGCAGCCCAAGGCGACAAGAGCATCGAGAACACCGCAGATGCCATCCAGAACGTCCATTGTCTCATATCAGGACAGCCGCCCACCAAAGGCGCACCTTAAGACGAGCCCCTCATCTGTCGTGCAACATACGGCCGTGCATCGGCTCGTCCCCGTCGATGGCGCAAGTGGCGAACGAACACAACCAAGCTTGATGTCTTCCCGAGGGCACTTGCCGGCAAAGGTCCACGCGTCCACCACGGGGCAACTGGTGGCGCAGCTGCGCCTCGATGTGGTGTTCGAGTGCTTGAGCGACAGGCGCCTCGTCACGGTAGTTAGTGTTCCCAACGACATTGGGTGTGGCCTCGCTGCCATGATATCGCCCAAAGACACACAACCACCCAAACTCGGTGACGGTTTCCCACGTTCCCCTATGCAGACAGGCAACGCGGGGCCGCCACCGTGCGGTCGACAGTTTGGGCAGCAGTCGCGAGAGAAACCCCAAATCCCAAATGTGAGGTGGTCACGTGGCAATAGTAGAGAGAACAGGTTCCGCAGCGCCACGTCCGCCTCGAGTCTCAGCTCTGAAGATTTGGCTGCAGAGGTCTGAGCCACTGTGGCTGAAAAGTGTGGCGCTTCTTCAAGGCGCCCGCACATCAACGGTTGGCCCCCTAGAAAACATCTGCGTGGGTCAGACTTTGTTTACTTTCTGCGCCAGCCGACCAACCACACGTCTCGCGCGCAGCACCACCCAAAGGACGCGACATGCTGTGAGACGGACCGGTGCAATCCCAACCGCATACCTAGTCTTGCATCCGCCTCCACGACACAAACAATTCCAAGCGCCCTCGTCTCGGCTGCGAGATGCCTCGTGTTGCCCAAGTGCCACGCGCCGGCGGCGTCAGAAACACCTCTGGCTCTCCATTCAAGTCTCCCGTAAAGTGAGAAACAATCCCCCCCCCCGCCCGCGCCCTCCCGACGCTCTCTGCTCCGCACGTTTCCNCCGCCGCTCCCATCTTCCATGCAGGCAAGCGGCCCTCTTCTGACACCAAAATGTTGGTTAGGATTCCTCTCAACGACGATGCGACAGAAAAGGGCGGCGTCAGAAACACCTCTGGCTCTCCATTCAAGTCTCCCGTAAAGTGAGGAAACAATCCCCCCCCCGCCCGCGCCCTCCCGACGCTCTCTGCTCCGCACGTTTCCGCCGCTCCCATCTTCCATGCAGGCAAGCGGCCCTCTTCTGACACCAAAATGTTGGTTAGGATTCCTCTCAACGACGATGCGACAGAAAAGGGCCAACGAATGAATTCGCGCAAGGCCCTCCACGAGAAGCAGATCAACGAGATCAAGAAAGCGGCCACGCCGCGCAAGGGCAGCATCAGGCTGGAGGACATTGAGAATGCGTCGCCAGGCTCCGCCATGGGCACCCCGCGCGGGAGCCGCGGCGGCGTCGATGGCGACGAGAACATAATGGTTGGCGGCGTGTCCGTGACGCCCATGAAGCGCGTCCCCATTCTGGCCAACTTTGAGGAATGGATGAAGATGGCCACGGACAACAAGATCAACGCGACCAACTCATGGAATTTTGCGCTCATCGACTATTTTCACGACATGTCCCTGCTGAAGGAAGGCGACGGCGTCAATTTCCAAAAGGCCAGCTGCACCCTCGACGGCTGCGTCAAGATTTACACCAATCGAGTCGACAGCGTCGCTACGGAGACGGGCAAGTTGCTCAGCGGCCTCGCCGATAGCAACAGCAATAAGAAGAAGGACCGCGATGGTGACGCTGAAGGCGAGGAGAGCGAGGAGGAATTAGACGAGGATGGGAACGTCAAGAAGAAGCCCAAGAAGAAGGTGAGTTACTGAATTACCCGCCGAGTGCCGTGAGCGAACCGCCAGTACTCATCAGGAAATAGACTCAACGATCGTCAGAGGCTACGTTGGCGCCGTCTTTCAGTTCTTTGCAGCTGAAGAAGTTCGAGCTCGAGTTTGCCGTCGACCCGCTGTTCAAGAAGGCATCCGCGGATTTCGACGAGGGGGGCGCCAAGGGTTTGTTGCTCAACCACTTGATGATCGACTCCCAAGGCCGAATTGTCTTCGACAGCAGTGACGACGCGGGCGACGTGATTACGCTTGGGAAGAACAAGGATGACGACGCGGCGGACGAGGACATCGAAAACGAGGATCCCGACGCTTCAACCATGCAACCAGAGCAGAGCCTGATCGAAGATGCGAATGTACCACAAGACGAGGATGAGGAAAACGCCGTTCCCATTGACCTGGCATCGCTTCGACACCGATTCTTCCCAGATTTGGCCATGCTGGACGATCTTGACGTATGCCCCTCGCTCAAGAACTTCGACCTCGGCGATCCCTCTGGCTCCACCGACATCCCGTTCCTTAAAGCGCCCGAGGACTGGAGGATGGATCAAGACAAGGAAAAGACTCCCGGCGCATTTGGAGATAAGTCGGGCATGTTCATCGACGAGGAAGCACCAGCTGGCTTTGACGACGACGACTTGGGCCTGGGAAGCTTTGACATTGGTGGCGACGTGGCCTTTGGCGAAGGCGGAGAAGCCTGGGCCCGTGAAGCAGCTCTTGGCCCTCAGATGCGGGTATACGATGCCGGCATGGGTGATGAAGGCGGCGACGGCGACGGCTTCGATGACAACGGAGAATACGTCGTTTCCATGGTCAACCCGCAAAATCTCGACAAGATGCATGATGACATCCTTGGGTTCTTCGACCAGGCGCTGCAGAAGAACTGGAGCAGTGCAGAGCACTGGAGGATCCGCAAGATCAAGGACATCAACAAGCCCGCCAGCGAGACAAGGAAGCGAAAAGAAAAGGAGCCGTTCGAGATTGACTTCGCCGCACCGTTAGAATCTACCATGGCGGATATCATCCACACGCAGGCGTCGAGCAACTCCGCCATCAGCTTGCCAAAGAAGGATTGGAAATCCAAGTCTCGGAACCTACTCCCCGACGATAAGCACTTCAACTCAAAGTCGTTGCTGAGTCTTTTCCTCAAGCCCCGAGCGCGTCTTTCCTGCCGGCGTACCGGGTTTGGCGCACGTGCTGGCTTTGGTAATGCTCAGCAGGACAGCCAGCCTGTGGGCGAGATGGATGAAGCATTCTGGGCAAACCAGAAAGGGCCTGAAGAGACGGCTCTTCCAGAAGGCGACTACGATGCCAACTTCTTCCAGGACGACGGGTTGCCGTTCCCCGGTGGAGACGACCCCGACGACGACGACTTGGAGTTTGCTGATGCACGGGAGCACCTTTCTCCGGAGGGCGAGCCAGGCATGACGGAGGCCGTCGGCTTGACGGCGATGCTTGGTGGCGAAACATATCCGTTCACGCAAGCCATGGGAGGCGCGTTCGGGACGACGCTGGTCACGCAAACGAGGAGAGTCCGACCCGAGTATGTGCAGTACGCAAGACGGGCGAAGAAGGTGGATGTGCGTCGGCTCAAGGAGGAGATTTGGAAGGGCATGGAGTTTGACAAGCTCGAGGTAAGCATGGCTCAAGAATCGTTTGAGTCGTAATCGTGCTAACACATTGGGTCTAGAATCCCGCCAAGGATGGCGCGCCCTCGGGTACCACTCAGGATTCCACGCAGCCAGCCGACACGACACTCAGGTTCAGCGAGGTCATAACTGGTCTCCAGTCTGTGTACCCCAAGTCAGTGATGGAGGACATCTCGACCTCGTACTGCTTCATCTCCCTGCTACATCTGGCCAACGAGAGGGGGCTTGTCATTGAGAACACGGAGAGCTTGTCAGACCTAGACATTCGCAAAGACTGGACGGCAGAGTTAATAGAGGGCGCGGAGTAAGGGGTTTGGACAACGCGGCATGAAAGGCATTGGTATGACGGCGTGTTTGGACGAATGAATGCGAACATGAGGGCGGCATGGCAGAATGTACGAGCATTGAAGAACCCGTAGTGCTGAGATCTGCAGGATGGCGGATCTGCAGCCGATTAAGCGGGGAATATCTTGGAACCCCTCGAGGACTGGCAAAAGTGAAGACGTAGTGTCGGGCAATCCAGGGCCTCGTTGGTCAACACCGAGGTGCGCCAGTGTAGAACTCGTTCCACAGCCCCGTGCCAACGAAGTTCGCTTAAGCCAGACGTTGCTGCCAAACCCACCCTCGGCGCCCAAAACGCCGGCCACAGCAGGCGCCAATTCCCCCTTCGGGGTCCGTCCGTCCGTCAATCCCGAGCACCGCCTGACAGTGCCCACAGCAGGAGAGCGTTGGCTGGACAGACGAGGGAAAGGGCGAGCCAGCCGTTGGGTCAGCCCACCCCGCATTTTCACCTCACCGGTCGTCCGCTGAGGTGATCCCACCCCTGACCCTGAGTCCCCTTTCCCCCCTCGGACCCTTTTTTTCCAAAAATGTGGCGCTCGATGACGTCGGAGGACCCTGAATGACGACGGGACGCAGGACTTGGCGCCCGCTTCGCTTTCTGGATGGTGCATCTTCTTCCCCCCGTGCACTGCAGGTTAAAAGCTGTTCGTGTCCCTTCCGCGGGAGAATGCAATCGCTCAATTTTCACCTGATTTGCGCTCTCCCTTGCGGCGCGCCGGACATTGTTGCTGCGCCAAACCATCACACACAGAGGACCCCCTTTGGCCAGCTCCCTAGATCCCGACCGCGTGCAACCATCTGGCACGATCCCTTCATTTGCAAGCCCATCGGCGCAACGCCGCTACAGCTCACCAACGGCGAAATGGAACAAGCGGTTTTGCAAGCCATTGCGCACCCTGCCTCGTTTTTATCTCCTATGGTACACATTCTGAAATATTACTAGTTCGCTGAAGCAGTGGGCGCTTGTCCATGTTTCAAGTTTTCGTCTATACCATTGGCACTGTCCCGTGCACCTTCCTCGTCCGATAACCTCGACTCGCCCACCGTTCCGCAATGAATCCAAACGCATATCACACGAAATTTCGAATCACGTCGTTTTTCGTATCGTCATCCAACAATATAGCCGAATCCAGAACGCCAATTCTCAAGTTATCCAAGGGCCAGAGGCACTATCAGTGCCCAAAATATCCTCCGCCATTCCTATGGCCCGTCGCCTCTCTCGAGTGGATTTTGGGTATCAACAACCGTCGCCAACGAAATATGCAACAGAAGAAGCGAGGGTCATTCGAGGTGCTGTGTTCAACAAGCGTTGCCGCAACACCGCCGTGTCCATGCCAGCGGAAAAGCATGGACTAAAGTCGATCAAATCATGCGGCCGCGCACATTCAGTTTATGGGTGAGGGCGACCACGCCGGCCGACAATCTCACCGGCTCTCAGTAGAGCACTCATCCCATCGAAGCCCCCTTTGCCGTTGTCGTCGGTGGGAGTTACCGCGGTCATGAGCACATCTTCTCCAGATTGTTCAACCTTCATGTGCTTGAAGGCAGACGACTCGGCCTGGAAGCCTGTACGAGCAACGTTAGCCGACGCCTCAGATGCGTCAACAGACCCAGGGCCATGCATACCATATCCCCTAGGCCCGTGTCCGATTTTGAAGGAGGGGTCACGGCGGTCATCGGCGTTCGCGGCTGCTACAGCAATCGGCATTGGCTGCGGCTGCTTGTCGATAAAATCCGGTGTGTCTGACATCGTCCGATCTGCAAGAAGAGCATGAATTGGAAGCGGACCCTCGCCTGGTATCCGGTTGATGCTTGTCGAAGAATTGCTGGAGGCGGTAGTGCCGCCTGATGAGGGCTCATGACGAAGCATGGGTGTGCGAGATGGTGGTAGGACAGTTGGGCCATCACCAACCAGTCGCATCTGGCCGGACGCTGCATGTCCTGACGCATAAGCGCTTGCATCAACCATCGGCGTGTCCACATTTTTCTTGCCATCATCGAGCATATCGGAAAGCGATGGCAAGGGTTGATGTGATGACTCTGTCCGGTTCCGACTCGGCCAGGACGGCGGTCGACGCGAGTGCGTGTCTCTCGGGCTTCCGGAGTCGAAGTGATTCGTTCGCGGCGAAGGGCCATTATCATCGAGGGAGTGCCGATACGCAATGGATGGCGCCGTAGACGAGTGTTGCGATCCCGCCATCGACGCTGTCGAGTTTACTCGTTCCTGCCGAGTTGGTGGAGGCTCACTCCCTTGCTGTCTCTCACTGCTGCTCCCACTGCCTGTGCCACTCGACTGTCCTCCATTCGGCGTTGCGCTACTACTAGAGCTGCCGTGTCGTAACCTGGGAGGCTCTAGCTTGGGTCGCTTGGCAGCATCATGAGCTTGGGGGGAAAGGAGTGTTAGCATCTCAAGTGAATGGGCAGCATTATCCTACCAACCTTTGTTGTGTTTGGCCTGCTTCTCCCTGAACTCATGAAGATATTGAGAATATCGGCGATATTCGGGCGTCTTCTTATACTCGGCGAGGTCGCGGTGATATTTTTCCTTGGCGGCATTCGCCTGGCTCTCATACGTCTCCTTTTCCGCTGGATCCAGGTTTTGCCAATTCTCGCCGACCAGCTTAGCAATCTCGGTAAAGGTCAGGCTCTGGCCCTTCAGATCCTCTCTCATCTCTGTTCGGAAGGTAAGCACGGCTCCCTACACTATGATAGACTGGGGATAACAAAGGCTCAGGTCTTACTATTAGAGAAGAGGACATAGGCTGACGGAGGCCTCTCCGGGGCGTTCTCATCCGGCTAGAAGGCAAAACTTAGCCACGGGATGCCCAGCTACTTGGGCCGTCGACTCACCTTGGGATGTCGCCGATACTTGCGCTTGGCAACGCCATGGCCCTCATTGCCACCTTCGAGACGACCTGATTCACGTCGACTAGGCTCCGATTTGATATCTTCAGATGCGGACTTGACCGAAGCAAGGGAAACGCTCGGCGCGATACCTCTCGCGTTAGCGATGCGCCGCTGCAGTTTCTATACACAATCAGATGCTGTCTTCGCTGGCAGGCTATGGATGCTTTGCCTTACCCTTCGATGGCCAAGTTTGACGCCAAGAGCATCCCTGCAGAAAGAGTTTAGCACGAAAAGAAACGAAGATCCAGGACCAGACGCGGGACATACAGATCAGATTCTTGAATATCGAGGATCGTGTCCCATGTATCAAATCCTTGGTCCACGAAGGCGTCAAGATATCTGGACAAGCCCAGCTCCGCAAATATGTCGTCGAGTACTTGCGTCATACAGTCGGATTTGCCGCCCTGCTTTGGACGAGCAAATGGTCTCGAAATGCCGACTCTTCTTGGGGTAGAGGCTCAAAGGCCAACATATGCTTCGCACAGCGGGAGGGCAAGAAGTCCAGCTGCGGCCGCGGGTGCGCGCGGCTACTAGTTACTCTCAGCACCAGAAGGAGAGCGTGCGATGCCTCGCGGGACACCGGGCGTCTTCAACCTGGCGAGTATCGGTACTTTGTTTGAGGAAAGGGAGTCCAAAGGCAGATTGCAGACGTCCAAGGAAGGTTGCCGACCAAGGGTTGCGTCCTTCTGATAGGCGTCGCTGAATACCTGCTTGCCGGGTTCCGCGGTTCACCTTGCACCGGAGACGAAGAGGCTGCGAGCCACGAACGAGACTGAACGAGCTCCTGAAATACCGAAAACGAGAGGAGATCGATTCGCAACACCTCGGAAGAGTCCAATCAGACGTGGCCACAGCGCCAGAGAAGATCCAGCAAATGCACGAGGGTGCCGCGAATGAGGGGTTGGATGTCGAGCAGAATGGCGGCCAGAGGAGGCAAATCGGATATCTCGATTGCCAAGAAGGAGGTGTGCCGTGCACGTACCGACGCCTGCCAGTCGAGGGCCAACGGCACACGTCAACAGTCGGTACGGTTCGCTGGGCGGTGCGGTGCAGGACGCCAGTGGGGAGTGGCGGAAGGTCGACGTCAAGTCGACGTGGGAGCCGAAATTGCTGGTTGAGAGAAGGTAATGGCGGGTGGGCTGACGACGGGCAAGAATCTACGCAGGGGCACTATCTCGGCGAGATGGTGGCGGAGGCCGCTTCCTGGTGCTGGGGAATGCGCGTTGCGAAAATGCTATTGGGCACTCCGGACATCCGTGGCGACGTCGACTGGTGGGCTCGGGATGATCGTCGTGGGAGCTGGCGGCAGGCTGGACGAGGTGAACGACGCCTTTTGAGAGTGAGGCCCTCACTTCTCCGCGGGCACCAAGTTGCTTCTGCAGTCGCGTGTCTCAGGTTCCTGGGTGGGCGAAACGGCCGGGGCACGCAGCGGAAGGTTGGGCGTCCAGGTTGGAGCGTCGGCACAGGCAAAAGCGTTGCGGAATAGAGCCGTGGGGAGTTGCCACTTCGAACGCCGAGGAAAGGGAGTTTGGAAAAGGTCGAGGGAAAAGAAGGCAAACAAAAGCGAATGATGGGTTGCAAGTACCTCGACGAAAGGAGACACAGACGCCCACACCCCCCTTCTGCCGCGGAGCCTGCCACAGCCGATCCAGTGCCAATGACATGATGGCTCTAGCAGCTTCCCGGCAGGATGGGAAAGCAAGAGCGGGCGAGACCAGGCCAAACGCCAGGCCGAACCGCCGCTGCTGGTGGTGCCGGTGCGCTACGGCGTCCGGCTGGGCAGCACCAGCGCAGCGCAGCGCAGCGCAGCGCAAGCAGTGGTGACAGCCCACCTTGGCACCGCCGTGGCCCCCCCTTAGCGGTGGCCCGGCAGAAAGACATGGGCTGGGAAAACCGAGCCCGCGACTGCGACGGTCGAGAAGCGAGCGTGGAGAGTCACGGGTGGGGAGCCAGAGGAACGGAGGAACGAATGCTGGGGCTTGGACGAGTTCTTGGCCGTCGCCCGTCGCGGACAGGGAGTGGCACTAGCAAAGGTACTCAGCCTGTACCTGGGCCGCCACGGCTCCACTAGGCTGCTGCTTGCCAGGCTGTTGCCAGCAGATCCGGCAGCCGCCTCCACCACAAACGCGCGATCCATCACCGCCGCAGCTGCTGCCTCTCGCGAAGCGGGAGATGTTGGACGTATTCGCCAATACGCGCCGACGACTCGAGCGTCGAAACGGTTTGCCTCATCTCGATGGATTCGCGCTTTGCAAGACCATCAGCGATGAGTGTGACTCGGGCATCGCCCTGCCGGCAATCAATGACTCGTCCCCTGCCGCCCCGAGCACACAGAAGTACACCTGGCCGCATCGAGCTTTTACAGTCGTCACGCCCGTCACGAGCATCGCTTCCGATGTTCCATGGTGAACATGGCCGTCCACTCTGGTACAGACATGGATGACAGATACGTAGATGCTCTGCCAGTCAAGCTTGCGGTCGTCATGTTCTGGTCGCCTCAAGTTTGACAACGGGCCCCATAACAAGGGTGGAATCATCGCTCGAGGAGGGGGCGCCGTCATCACGAAGCGCCACCGTTGACGGCTCTGGGATATCCGCCCGCCTCTCTGGCGGCAAACCCCACTCACCGCGACTGGCAGTTCCTGCGAAGCAGGCCAGGTACTGATGATAGTCTTCATTGATTGGTGCCATGTTGGCGAGAACGAGTTTCGCGCCATCCTGACTTCGCTGATGGACTATAGAAGACCGAGGGCATTCGTAAGGACAACGTCAGATTTGCATCAAGGCCCTCATAACCACAAACGACACCGGGCCAATTGACGGAGGCGAGCGCCGCGTTAGGCCTGGGCATGCCGACCATCCAAGAGTTCCGTAGTCACTTGGGGCCGCATGGTCTTCGAAGCGCGCCAGGTGCTCAAACGGAGCCGGGTGAGACTACGCACGCGATTGCCTCACTCGCCGTCATGAGTCCATCAGGATATAGGGCCATCGAGATGCACGGCGTGGCACAGCGAGATTCGAAAGTCCGGTGCTCGAGGGAGCAGCCACCCATGCCAGTTTGGAGCTTCCATTTCACAGAGGCTCCCGATCGCGCACTGACAGTGGAAAAGACCATGGCTTTTGAGGTGGGACCTCGTGGCACATCAACGGCTATGACGTTGACAATGACATAGTGTCTCGTTGCACCTTGTCGGTGTTCGACACCATCGCGATATCATCGCGATACCACTTATCCATATATCTTTCGTGGGTAACAAAGTGGGAGCCTGACCGGAAGCTCAATATTTGCGTCCAAAGTGCATGGCGTTTATGACGGTCGCCCAGTCCTCCCAGTAAAAGACTGGGTCCCGTAATGCCCGTCCTGAGACGCTGCAACGATGGCGCGAGGAACTGAAACGGCAGAAATGGCGATTGCTGGTGAACTTTCCGATCACGCCCAGGAGCATCGTGATGACAGAAGCAGCTCCATGGGTGCTAATGCTAGGAGTGCCACGGGTTGTCACGTCACTACTCCCCGGCTCATTCACTGGCGCATAGTGGAGTGCCAATTCGCGGTCGTGGGCTGGAGTCAACACTGGTGGTGGTGGTGATGGTGGTGGGGGGCGAAGGGGAGGGGGGGCGTTCAGACAACGGCTCCAAGGGCTCTCAGGGTACTGAGAGGTAACTTTGAGGCTTCAGGATCTCGATCTCAGCCTCGAGGCTATGGCAGATTGGTTCGGTGACGGCAGAATATTGTCCCGCATTTAGATGGCGCTTCGGCGCCCTCTGTGGCATCCCAGCGACCGTGCCCCTGGATCCAAGATCCCGCCAGTAAGAGGCGCCGGAGCTTCCTCCAGCACTCCCCCGGCGTTGGCGTAGGCGTGTGGGGCTGTGAGCTTTCATCAGGCCAACGACGGGAATCGAGTTTTGGCGCGAGGATCGCAAAAGCCAGCACGCGAAAGCATCGCCGAACATGGAACACCCAGTCATCCAGTCTGCTGCCCCGACCTCCCGGACCCTCGTCTGCCTCGTGCAACCCACACCAGTCGGCCACCACGAGCAGACGCCCCGTGCCCACGCTGCGGTAGGCACTTGAGTGTGTGCCCGTGGGCGCTCAATCCAACCCACGCGTGCCTGTCATCCTGTGTGGATTCGCTCGCCAGCGCAACCCGCTTTGATTCAAGTTTGCTTCGATGTGGAAGGCCCGCCGCGTGTTGCTGCTTCTTCGGACTCCGTACTAACGTGCGTCTTGCGCTTCGTGCACGCGCCTGGTCCCGAGAAACGGCCCGCGTGTTTTCACGCGCACCCCCTGCCGGGAACATCTCTCGATGCACAACCCGGCAGCCGATGCAGGGGAACACGATAGGACATTGGCAAGACAGGGCCGCATCACCAGCATCGCGATCTGGTCCGGCAGGCCCAGTGGTCTTGTCCCCATGCTGAGCTGATCATCCATCGCCACATATCCATGTCACAGAATGGGGATTGGCGTTCCCGTCAGCCTGTGATCGAGTCGGCACCCGGGTGTGCGGCTTGGTCCGACTGACACGGGTACCTTCTCGCAGACTGACACATCCCCTGGGAGGCGTCGGTGGCCATCGCAGCTTTGCGCCAGCCTCCACCTTCAATACTCCGTAGTGCGCGAGGCGCGGCCGGCGCAGCGCAGAAGGTGGACGGCTCGTGCCTCGTGCCTTGACCACACTCCCGACCGTCGCCGCCCGCTGCCCAAGTCGAGCAAATTCGTGCAGTGGCGAGGAGGAAACCAGGGGCTAGGGATAGTTGAAGGCGTTCCCAGTCCCTGCCGCTGTGTAATCTGTCCCGCCTCGATGCCGCGACGGCAAAATCTCGATCTCCGTCCGCGCCGGCCAGATGCTCACTGAAACGGAGATGGGGGCGGACAGCCGGACAGGCCAACGGCTTCCGGAGGGCTGCAGCAGAGACGGGGCATAGGACGGGGCGGCGTCTCCGAACGGGACGCCCTTCTGCCTCGACGTTTCTAACGATTCGATAGCCTATCCGGAGTTTTTGTTCCTGGCGACGCAAACACGAGAAGAACGCCCGGCTCACCTCATGCGCTTCTGGTATCCCGCCAGCTCACGCAGTGTCTCGCCGCGGTGCCGATGTGGTTGGCCGCGACCGTGGTGGCCACTGGTCGGTCGCCTTGGCCGGGGTCCAGCCTCGGCCGTGCCCCCAGAACCAACTGTGCGCCATTGTCGCGCCCCGCCCGCCCGCGACTCGTGCCATGGCATTGCAGGCGTTCTCGATTCTCGATTCCCATGTCTTCTCGGTGCCCCGCCAATGGCATTCACTCACAGCCTCGAAACAGTCCCCGTCCGTTCGTCGTCGGCTGTGGCGAGTCTTGCCAGCCGTTGGTTGGGCGGGCCGGCTGCCTGCGGTCCTGTCCTGCGCAGTCGCCAGCTGCATCCTTGCAGTGTCTGGGATCTAGACCGTGGCGCCTGCATAACAGGGCGTGCAGCTAGGCAGGCAACGCCGAGTGACGGCCCAGGGACATTCCCATCTGGACCCTTGGCAATCGTCGTGCGATGCTTCATTTTGGGACAGGCGTCTCGCTCACGCCGACAACCTCCCCTATCTTTCCCCATTGGACCAACATCGAGAATTCTTTGACCACACTTGCGGTTGCCAAATATCGCATTTTCAATAGTCTTAGGACCCATGTTCCGCCCCAGCGACCCGGGGTCGGCGTCTTTTTATGGCAACAGACCCCATGCCAGGCCGACCCGCGCAACGCACCCCTCGCAACTGCACCAATCCGGTGGAGAACAAGCTGATGTGGACGGAACCGAGCATTACTGCGAGTGGCAAACCGTAGAGCCTGTTACGAACCACCGGACCATCCTCAGCACAGGCATGGCGTTGGAGCTGCTTCGTGACACATACTCACACAGCGAGATGTTTCGAGAACTGACAAACGGGTGGTAGCCCAGCTATCCGACGGAGCGCTGACAAGTGCAGCACTCCGATGCATAGAACGAACGCGTTACGGCAACCTCTCAAGCCGTAGAGTCGGTGTCAATCAGTCTCATGATGCCAATTACCTTAAGTCCAAAGCCCTGTGGCTTGTACCCACCACGGGCCAGGCCTGCCGGCACAGTCTTGCACATTTAATGCGTCGGCGCTGTCTGCATACCGACCTTGACTTTACTGGACTCAAGTCCAGAACCTTTGCTGAAACACCGACAGCAATGGCAAAAGTCGCTGCGGCCCTTAACAATGCCGCCCATGCCCTCTGTATTTGCAGAAGGCTCGCCGGAAGCGATAGGGTAGGACACGACGTGTTAGTGCGCGCCCTGATGGAGCAGTATCGAGAAGAAAGACCAGGTGCCTCAAGCCGAAACGTCCTGAAGGCCAGTCTTCATGGCCTTGCAGCTGAGACGAAATGTAAATACCAGGCATAGAACTTCTCAGGAAAGGCGAGTTGAGCCGCGAATTTCGTTTCACTGCAATATGTGCGAGAAAACCGCGTCCACGTAGCTTGGAAATCGCTCGCACACAGATTGCTCCTGTACATGGATCGATCCGAAGTCGTGATATGTATCTGAGGTAAAAGGATCCTTGGGGCCGGATGAGAATTACTCCTAGCACTCTCAACAGGTCAACAGCAAAGCTGTTTGAGTCGCCTGTTCCATGTGCTGCCCGGGATGCAGCTGGTCCGTCGAAAGCCGCGGGGCTCTACCACCACTTACACCTGAGTCCGTACACGCAAGCTGTGATCCGCACAGGATTAGCTACAATCCGATTTCCACCCTAGCGAAATTATCGTCACGGGACTTAAAGAAGAGGCAGATAATGACTGGATGCATCCTTTTTTTTAATGTTCGCGGCAAACCTCCCGATTGTGACTTGCGATTACCGACACCCGGTGTGCCAACCCAGATGTCACGTGAGGTCGGCACGACGACCTCATGGCGTACTTCGCAGGCAGTTGCCTGAGTGAGAGACCCCATCGGCCATCAGCAAGGCAGCACATGAATATTCCAACCAGCACGGATTCCTACCAAACATCGCGCATTCATTAATCGGGGTCGGCGCAGCTCTCACCGCACGCCTGAAGACTGACTGACTTGCCTTCGCTTTCGCGCAACCTGTCGCTTCTGCGGCCAAATCTCCGCCTATCCCGGCCGCCGCCCCGTAATCCAGTTCAAAAACCGCGCTGCTCACTCGCAGCAGCTGGGTAAATCTCGCCGGCCGAGATGGCGCCCCCTGCAGAGGACGGTGCGGATTGGAAGGATCAGAATGGTGAGGCCGCCGACTTGGCTCAGGTACGCAGCTGGAATCACTCTTGGCCCAACCAACCCCCCCTCCCCTCACTCACTCACTCACGGAGTGAGCCACTGGCACCCTGAACCGGCAACACGCCGTATCCCAGGCCCAGACGGCTTCAACCTCGCCTTCAAGGCTTGGTGGAAATGGAAATCGATGCCAAAAAGACGGCCTTTGCGGAACATTTGCTAACTGAGCTGCCTGTCCGGCACCTGCCTCGGCCCACAGACCTATCGGGATCTTGTCAGGTACAGCGACCCCCTTTCGAGCCCAAGTTCGGCCCCCAGAAAAGACCAGCCGCTAACGGGCTTGCAACCATGAATAGAGGAGAGCAAGCTGCCGCCGCCCTTGAGGCAAGCCTCACGACGCTCGAGTCCAAGCTCGACGCCATGTTGGAAGCCCTCGAGGACAAGGCCGACGCCTCGTCTCCGGCAGCCGACGAAAAGTCCCCCGCCACTGACACCAAAATCGAAGACAAGCCTCAAGCCAATACGTCTGGTAACGAAAAGCCAGCTGGCCATGGCTCGAGCAAGACGGCTGAATGAGCTGGCCGCGCGAGAAACAGCACATCCAGGCGTCGCCAGCGCTCGGGCCAAGTCACTGCACACCGGCATGCGTGATCATATGAGCTCATTCCGCCTGGTGTTGGGCGCCAAAAATTTTGGTCATAGAAATGAACCTGTCCTGCGCTCGTCACCGCCTTGCGCATCAGCTTGTGTCGACGGCTTGATCCGGCACACGCCCTTTCGCTCGTCTCCAGATACATATGTACCTCTCGTTCCGGGGCAGACACTGCCGCTGGGGGTGTGATGGTGTCCCACAGTCATCAGCTATGACTTGTGCGATATACAAGAGCCACGGTTTGGGCGTCACTGCATGATGTGTGCTTGCGAATGGCCGAGGAGCACACGTGGTCGGAACGAAGAATGAAACTCGATAGAGGAGCAGTGATAGAGAATGGCAATAGATTGTGTGGGACCGCAGTATATATGACGCTGTTGGCCTTGTCGTAACAACCTCTTGCCGCGTATGGCTATTTTGTTGATTCGTATGGCTACGTTGGGACTCGACAGGCGTGTCATAGTCCAACACGGATATTATAACAACACGACACAAGAGGACAAGTAGCAGGCCAAGTGGATACTTTGTATGTGCTTGAATACATTCTCTCGCTATGCCTTTCGATTTGCACGCCTGTGGTCAGGTAACCCTGGCAAGCAAAAAGCTGTATCGAGCGTCCAATGTCGCTCGGTTTTCGAGTGCCTCCTTGCGGCTGCCAAGAAAAGTGCAAACCGCACACGATGCTCTTCCATGCCCATCATCAGCGCGCCATCGCTCACAGCTGCGTACGGCGGCGAGCAGAGATGGGGTGACCCAGGCCAAGGGTCACGACCGTAACGCTAGACAACCAAAAACTCCCCAAACACCGGTATGTAAAGTACAGCAGAGGAAGTAAAAGAAACCCGCATGGATGTCCGGCAATGTGCGACATTAAAGACCTTCTCCTCCTCGCCCAAAACAAAAGCAACCAGCAACATGCATTATATCGAATCTCGTGGGGTGAGACAGTTGGCACCCAGTCTCGTAACTTGCGTCGCCAACATTAATAGATGAAGCAAAGGTGGACTGGTATGGCCGGCGCGTGACCGAAAGCAATGTGCATGGAGCAACTCGGAACCCCAAGCCTCCGATGCCCAGCAGAGCAAGCTAGACGGAGCATCAGAAGCCGAAAGACCCAAAATGCGCCCTGCAACCGAGCCTGCCGAGGTCATGACATCAATGCGACGGTTGCCCATATCGCAAGTACGTGAGTTGACGACCTTTCATGTTGCGTTTAGCAATATCAATGTTTGTCTTCTCGATAGCTCCTCGAACGTTTCGGTAGGTAGCGCAATGACGCCAGGTTCGAGGAGGAGAGAAACAACGCCATGGCGCGCAGGGGAGACGTTCGAGACAGAGGAGCGCACTAAGTGCTACGCGATCTCGGGAGCCACTGAGAGCGCCAAAGTCCCTCGGTTAGCTCGAGATACTCCGCAGATCAGAGAGATCGCGACGTGCTCTTGCCCAAGGGTCTTCTTGGTCTGCCGAGGCGACGCCGCGGCTGTCCGGGGTGTTGGTAGTCATGGGCTCTCGGGTCGTATTTGCCCGGTTCTCAAGCGCAGGACGAAGCAGGCCCTGCCCAGTCTCCTTGTGACTCGAGGACTTTGCGTCAGCCTGGATTGCCAGCTCCCGCTCGCGGTTCTTCTCGAGGAGAGGGCCGCCCAGTGTGGCGCATTTGAGGATGGTCTGTATGAGGTGATTCTGCTGCAGGGGCTTGGACAGATATTCATCCATCTGAGCCTGAATGCACTTCTCCCTGTCTCCCATCATGGCATGTGCTGTGAGGGCGATAATCGGGGTCCGATGGGTACCCATGCTTCGCTCGTACTCGCGAATCTTGCCAGTGGCCTCGAAACCTCCCTGCTCGGCGTGTTAGTGCAAATGTTGTCAGTACAATTGTCGCGAGGTAGTGACGTACCATGATCGGCATTTGAACATCCATGAGGATAACGTCGAATTTCTTCTCCTTGACCGCCTCGACCGCCTCCCATCCGTTCCCAACAACGGTCACGACGTGATGATACTTCTCCAGAATCTTGACAGCAAGCCTTTGGTTGACCGTATTATCTTCGGCCAGCAAAATCTCGAAGGACTTCGTGTTGTCGGCAAGCGATGGTGTCGCCCTATTCTCTAGCGCGGGAATCATACCATTGCCGAGGTCGATAAGCTCGCAAGGCGTCGTCATGTATGAAGTAATACCTAAGTCCAGACAGGACTTGAGGCTGACGTGAACAACCGGGGCCAATAGGACGATTGGCAAGTACTTGAAATCGTCGACAGCTCGGAGTCTCCTGGCTGTATCGATTGAGTCGACAAGAATGGCATCGTAAGGCAGTGCTCCGCCGGCCTTGAGGCGTGTAAGGGCTGAGCTCTTTTCCGAGTCAACAACAACCGGATGCAGGCCGATTTGCTCGAGCATTGCTCGGATTTCCGCACCCGAGCTCGATTGGGCCTTGTCAACAAAAAGGACCTGATGGCCTTGGTAAGAGTGGAGTTGCTTCTTGATTGACTCCGTGTCGTTCGATGCGAGCTTGACTCGGCAGGTGAAGTGGAACTGGCTGCCCTTGCCAGCCTCGCTGTTGACCCAAAGGTCGCCGCCCATGAGGTTCACCAGGCGCTTCGAGATGGAGAGACCTAGGCCAGTGCCGCCAAACTTTCGCGTCATCGACCCATCTGCCTGCTGGAATGTGTCGAAGATGAGGTTCAGCTTGTCCTGCGCGATTCCGATACCAGTATCCTCAACGACAAACTCAACGGCGTATTCGCCAGCTCCAACGTCGTCTTGATCAGCCCACTCCTTGATTGTGAGGCTGACCTCGCCGTGCTCCGTGAACTTGATAGCGTTGCCAACGAGGTTGAGAATGATTTGCCTGAGGCGGAACGAGTCGCCGATAACATGATCGGGAACGGTACTGTCTACCTTATAGGTCAGATCCAGGAACTTCTCGTTCGCCTTGACAGCAAGAGTCTTGAGAGCATTAAAGACGGTTCCTCGTAACGTATACGGGATTTCTTCAATGACCATTCTCCTGGCCTCGATCTTGGAAAGATCCAAGATGTCATCAATAATCGTCAGAAGGCTGTTCGCAAGGTTATTGACAATGTTTAGCATCTCCCGCTGATATTGCGTCAGGTCGGTGTCTAGCGTCAATTGCGTCATGCCAATGATACCGTTCATCGGTGTGCGGATCTCGTGAGACATGTTGGCAAGGAACTCGGATTTCGTCTTGTTGGCGAGCTCGGCAGCCTCTCTGGCTTGGGTATTTCTCTGGATACTATCCCGAAGATTGGAAATCATTTGGTTGATTTTTCGTTTCAGCTCGTCCATTTCGCCAGAGGCTTCGACATCCACGAGCTTAGTGAAGTCGCCGTCGGTAGCGAGGTTCGTGATATCTGAGAAGGCGCGCACTTGCGTCGTCTGAAAGGAAATTAGTTAAGACGGTCTTTGACGCGGGCATGAATGTGTCGAGATGCTACTCACCAAATTGCTGGCCATTGTGTTCACGTCCGTCGTAATCTCTTTCCAGCGGCCGTCCAAGCCGGCGATATCTGCCTGGGCGCCCATCTTGCCATCGACGCCCACATCCTTGGCGACGCGTTGCACCTCGTAGCAGAAGCTCGACAGGCGAGAAACCATGTTGTTGATAGTCTCTTTGAGCACCTGTATTTCTCCATTCGCCTCGACATCGATCGTCTGGCTCATGTCGCCGTTTGCAATCGCCTGAGTGACGGCGGAGATGCTTCGTACTTGGACGGTCAGGTTCGACGCCATCGTGTTGACATTTTCAGTCAGGTCCTTCCATTTGCCTTCGACATTGGCGACTTGAGCTTGCCCCCCGAGCGTGCCGTCTGTGCCGACTTCTCGGGCTACCTTGCTCACCTCGACGGCGAACGTGCCTAAACGGTCAACCATCTGGTTGATAGTGTTTTTCAGCTCCAGAATCTCTCCCTTCACCTCTACGCCAATCTTCTTCGTAAGGTCGCCCTTGGCGACGGCTGTTGTGACCTTGGCGATTTCGCGGACTTGCGTGGTGAGATTCATGGCCATGCCGTTGACGTTTTCCGTCAGGTCTCTCCACGTGCCTTCGACGTCATGTACGGTGGCCTGGCCGCCGAGGCGACCCTCGGTTCCGACCTCTCGGGCGATCTTCGTCACTTCGCGAGCGAATTGTTGGAGCTGGTCCACCATGGAGTTGATAGTCGACTTGAGCTCGAAAATTTCGCCCCTGCAGTCGGCCTGGACCTTTTGGGTGAGGTCACCCTTGGCGACAGCTGTCGTGACCTTGATAATGTCGCGGACTTGAGTCGTCAAATTATTGGCCATGGCATTGACGTTGACCGTCAGGTCGTTCCACATGCCCTGAACCCCGCCAACGTCAGCCTGTCCGCCTAGGATACCTTCGGTTCCGACGTCTCTGGCGACACGTGTGACTTCAGAGGCGAATGTTCGCAGCTGGTCCACCATGGTGTTGATGGTCTGCTGGAGCTGCAATATTTCACCCCGGGCTGGTCGCTCAATCTTCTTGGTCAGGTCACCGTGGGCGACTGCGGTCGTGACGGAAGCAATCTCGCGCACTAGACATTCCTCCTAGTTAATACAACTCGTGCGCGCACATGACCCTGCGCCGAGGGCAGCGCGAGGAAGCTGGAATATGCGTACCTTGATCTGTCAAGTTCTGGGCCATGACGTTCACTAGATGACACACGCAATCAGTACTTGATCCTTAGTAACGTGAACGAGGATGAGGGTCTCACCGTTGTCTGTGAGTTCTTTCCATGTTCCATCAACACCACCGATGCGAGCCTGTCCGCCGAGGAGACCCTCGGTACCGACCTCGCGAGCCACACGGGACACTTCGCTGGCAAAGATCTGGAGCTGGTCCATCATGGCGTTGATGGTCCGCTTGAAGGTGGTGATTTCAGGGTCCATTTCGACCGTGTTCATACGGACTTTCATGGTCAAGTCACCGCGAGCGACGGCTGTGACAATTTCGCCGATTTCTCTGAGAGCCTTTTGAAAGGCCTCATTGGCCTTTTGATGCTTCCAAAGTTCTCTCTCGAGCGTCGCGACGCGCTCCTGCTCGAGTACCTCGAGGGCACGTTCTTGTAATTGCTTCTGTTCAAGAAGCTGGGCGTTGACGCCAGCGAGTTCTCGTCGCTGGCTGTCCAGGAGTTTGGACTGGTCGTCCACGTGTTCGCGCAGTCCTTCCAGCGCTTCTTTCGTCAGCCGGCGAGGCACAAGAGTCGGTTTGTCCGAGCTACCTTGATCGGTGTTGGACAATTTGGGTCTGAGACCCAGCGCTCTGTGGGAGCTACCTTCTTCGCCAAATAGAGAGTCATTGACTTCATTTGGAGTCTCGGGGAGGACGGCCGAGGCCGAGGCCGAAGCCCTGTTTTCGAGCTGGCCAACGCGAAGTGCCAGTTGCTCGAGCTCGACTTCAAGATTCCGCTTCGCTGGTGTGTCGCGACCAGGCAACTTGATCCGGGAGCTCAGCCCGATTGCTAGGGACGATGAGGCCTTTGAATCGGCGGCAAGCGAGGCGACCACTTCGGCCGCCGCCGCCAGCACATTATCGTCGACCATAGCGCCGACGGATGGCAAGATTGCGCAGACGGTAGTTTTGCTGGATCAGGATCGTGTGTAGGATGATGGTTATCCGGCGTGGACGCGAGCGCAACGCCCGAGATGGCAGGGCTCCAGGCTCGGGAAGGGTGTGTGGACCGGTCGCGCGGGACGAAGGCGCTTCGACGCAACGCGAAGGCGGTCGGCTGAGAGGCGAGAGAAAAGCGACTCGTGCGAAACGCGGACTCGATATAAGCGACGGTTAACAGGATTCAACGCCAGTGGCCCAGCATCATTCGTTCCGCGGAGGAGGGGGATCCGATGTGAGGAAGAGGGAGAGCGGAGGGCCACAGGTAGGGTGCCGTGGGGGCGGTCGATGCGCGCTGGGACCCAGGGACACTGCGAGAAGGACGCAGTGCACGAGAAATGGGGATCGGGGAGATGAAGCCGGTGATGATGGCTTGCGGCCGGCCGTGGGTTGAACGGACCGGTCACCGAGGCGCGAACAAAAGCTGCGACTCCAACGGGTGTTGGCTGGGAATGGGAGGGAGGAGGAGAAAAAGGATCGAGGCCCAGGAGAGGCAGGTCTCGCACCAGCCGTCAGACAGGGAGCGTCGAGGGAGAGGGAACAGTGTGGGAGGACGGGTGGAGGTGCGAGTTAAAGCGCCGCCCAGTGAGAGGCCAGTGGACAGCAGCAATGGGGGAGCGGGTTTTGGGAGGACGAGGGCGACCAACGCGCTGAAGTGCGAGGAGGTGGAGGGGTCCACGGGAGCGTAGGGTCGCCGTTGGGCTGGGCCCTTCGGGTCTGGCGTCCTTGCAGCCGGTGTCTTCTGGGGGGTGGCGACGGGCGAACCATCCACTACCCGCACTTCATCATCTCGTGCGAGGCCGCCCTGTGCAACAGACCCGGGCGAAGAGGAGATTATAACGGGCTGGTTTCATTGAAGCCCAGTGCAGTTGCAGGCCAACGCAATGAAGAGCGCTCTCGTTGGTTGAGCGGAAGGATTGATTGTGTGGCGAGTACGCACGACGAAAGGGTTCCAGGTTTCGATGCGTAACGGCGACTAAGGGAGCCACGCGGAGGCGCAGCGTTAGCAGGCCAGGCACGTCTGCTTGACCTGCAGACTCAAAGTCAATGCGCAAGGTCAGGTACGTGAATGTGTCAACCCAAAGTGGCTGTTGCGCGATACCCGGGACTCTGGTCTGGCGGCAATGAGCATCACTCTTTGACTACATCGCTCACGGAACTTGCGACAATCATCATCGCGTCGCTCGCGGTTTGGCGGTTGCGCTGGCCAAGGGTACATCGCTCATCGTGGGATTCCACGTGCTGGATGAGAGACTTGCCCGGTGGGCCGACGCTGAAGTGCCGCCGCAGCACTGGCGCTGCGGGTTACTTACCTACCACCACCAGCTGAGCGCGCACAGCTCATTAGGGACGTTTCTAGCCCGGGTTCGCCTTTCCCGGGCTCCCACAGGTGGCCGGCGAGCTGGACATGAGGCACTAAAAGAGTCTGCTAAAGGATAATAGATATCGCCTGTCGTCGGCGGAGCTGACGCCCCAGACCAATACGAACTGATCGATCGGGCTCCAGGAGCGGCGCCGCCTTTAGTGCAAGCACCACGTCTCCGCCGTCAACGCTTCTTTTAGGTCGGCCTTAGGCAAGAGAATGGCTCCCGCGTGGGAGGGGAAGGTTCTCGGGTGCGCTACCTGCGCATTCAATCGTTGAGGGTTGACGCCGGGGCTCTCTCAAGACGACCTCCTAGTATCGTCGCCCAGGGCGTACTAACCCAAGGTACGCAGCCTGCCGGCGCTACACGGCATCAGGTCGAGGCAGTCTAGGATGCACGACCGGGCTGACCGGGCATTGCACGCACGCACGTATGTCTCCCTCTCCGCCTTGACAATGAGCACATTTGGTCAGAGAGCAAGTGGACCGATTGGCGTCACATGCCCTCGAGCGGTCTCACGGTGCGCACCAGCACCACCCAGCACCTCAACGTCGACGGCTGCAACACCATGTGCGCGTGCACGACCGATGATGAGATGGCACACGCACGCGCCACATGTGCTTCCCCTCCCGGTCTGGCCCCTCCCGACGCTTCGAACACCCGCGCCGCCAGCAAGCCACCTGCATCCGTGTCGTTGCGGCCAGAGACATTCGCCCGCGAGCGCATTCAATCGCTGGCTTCGTGATGGTCGGACAAACTGCCCCGGCGGCTGTCCCGTGCCATTCGTCAGCGGCAACTGGCATACGTGAGATGGCGTTGCGCATGGGCGTGCACGTAAAGCGGCGGTGCGTCGCAACCTCGCAGGTTAACTACTACCAGGTATCCGTACTTAGGTATCCAATGGGGCACGCACGCCTCGCCTGCCCGAGCACACGCTTTCCTGAGCGTGCTTCCTCGACGGCGTCTGCAACAACACCCATATTTGGAGAGGGTCTTTGCTGGATTTGAATTTTCCGTCTCCTTTTCCGTTCGTGTTCCGCCGCCCGGCCGGCCACTAGCTGACTCGATCCAGCGCCGCGTGCTGCGAAATGTGGGGGAATCGGTCCCCAAGACCACTCTTCTGAGCCAGGGTGGGCGTGTCGTCATTTCCAAGACCGTATTATCTGGACCCTGTGCTGCTCACGGAAGCCACTGGAGTCTGGACGGGGCCCTGGAATCCCGGTCACGGTCTGCCAGGGCAGACCCCCAAGTCTGGACGTCACGCCTCGCTGGTTGCGCAGACGGCAACGACAAGAGGCCGCACCGCACGGGATGAGGCGAGCAGAGACACTGAGACAGGTCACTTGATGCGTGCCAGGACGCCTATCGCCGCGTTGCTTTGGATTGGACGACATGCGCGCCTGCCCGCCCGCCTTGCCGCCTCGCCTGCCCGCAGAGGGGCTGCAGTCGTTCCGTGCCGCCCCCTCTGCTCGCGCCGAGGGCGCCGCGAGCCCGCTAGCTCGAGGGCTTGCCGGGTACTTGTCTGCCCACCACGACGGACAGTGAACAGCTTTGAGCGGCCGCCCACCATCGTCAGAACCCCGTACGTTGCGGGTAGGTAGGGGGCAGTGGTTGGCGAGCATGTTTGGCGGCGTCTGCCTGGTGAGAGGCAGATGCGATGATGCATGGGCGCACGCAGCCTGCCTCGCCCCTGGCCCTTGACCCCAGTCCAATCGGGGAATGCCCTGGTGCCCGCGACCTGCTGCTGTTTGCATGTTGCCGTTGAGGCTGAAGTGCCTGCATTCCATCACAAAAGCCACCTTCTCGGTCAGCAACCAGTGCGCACTAACAAGGCGAGCGACCATGCCGAGCAGCACTCCTACCTAGCCCGGCGCTGGGACATGTGGCCGGTTGGTCGCGCCAGCGCCGGCGCTGGGCTGTTGGCTGCACAGAGGTCTCCCCTCCCCGCTGTCAAGCGAAGCAAAGACACGCGCAGGCCAACAAAGACCCCTATCACTCCATCACTGGCCCGCAGCGGCAAACAGCCGTTGGATCGCTGATTGTTTGTGCGACACGAGACGACGGCCTGGCTCGTCCACCAGTCGACCAACGAATCGGCAGTCGAATCAAGGCACAGGTATGATGGACCCAATGTCTCATGAACGGCGGGCTTGCCTCGTGCGGTAAGAAGACCAAGGCTATCATGTACAAATGGTCTCCAAGGGTCGTCGACAAGGCACGGAGTATGTGTGAAGAAAGCGAGCGCCCGGACGAGGAGCGGCCGATACTCAACGTCTCAGTCCCCAGCTGGCGAACTACGCTGCCTCCCCCAGCATCGCTTCCACGTCTCCGTTGCACAAATGCCACGCAGGCGCGAACCCGGCGATTGGCATTTCCCATTTCCCATCTCCAGATCTGCATCTCCGCCACACCCCCTGGATTATCGCGGTCTGTTTCAGGAAAGAACACGCCATGGCTTGGGGTAGCGAGCACGGCCCACGACCCTGCCCTGCCCCTCTGGCAACGGTGGTGAGTATTCCTGGCTTCCAGGCCCCCCAAGCCGGCCCTAGGAGCCATGGCGGCCTGGGAGCCCTTCAGGCATTTTGACAGTGGAGTGGAGTGCTCTGAGAGTTTGTGGGGGAGCGCCAGAGATGCAAGCACAGGGCGCCGCAGCCGCCGACGTCATGGGCCGGGCACGGCTCCACGGCCTCATCCATCGTGCGCGGGCAAGCCAATCGCCGGGCGCTTGGCATCTTTGCCGGGCTGTGTTGAAGTCTTTTCGCGTGCCTGT